ACTTGCATAACATATTAATTTATATGCAACAATGATATTACATAATCATTAAGTAACATTGTAAAGTACTATAAAGGTCATAAATCCGGCTTTGCCAAACCTGGAGGTACCCTGTTCTACTGTATTAGTATAGTCAACAGGCTTTTTTCTGCTGGTGTGCGAAACTGCTGCGGAGACGGTGCTGACTGCAATGTAGCCCAAACAAATACTACACTATCTTTTACCCTTGAGCCCGGTTAATGGTTATGTCTCAGTCAAAGCTGTGTCGATGGAGCACAGTCACAAACAGGGCTTGAATGGGAAAATCTGTTTTTTTCTTCATACTCGCTTCATTCTTTGACTAGAAATCCTTCAAGCCGAATCTGACTTTGAAACAGCACTTCACAACTCCGCCATAGTTTACCCAACTCTTGAGGTGTTTACTGTCACCACTTGAACACAATTAGCACTCACTTAAAGCGTACAGTTTTTGTTTTTTTTCTTTTTCAAAATGGCTGCTGTGATGTATGTTTGTGCGCAGATGTTACATTTTATGGTCTGGGCCAACTGGTAGTTACACACGTGAACATATGGTTTGAGCTACAGCCACTCTCCGTCACTCCTGTTATGCTGGTTTCCTTTTATAGACCTCTCTTTGCAGCGATCTGTGGCATTTGAGCTTTTCACAATAAATCCATAGAGGCAAAACTTAGAAAGGCATGTCGTTTGTTAAATTTTCTTTCCATTTTTCATTCCAATATAAATTTAGCTTCCAATAATGCGCCTTTTATTGAGACAGATGTGACGGATAATGCCATACAAGGACATCTACCATTTGGCTGCTTAAATACAGTATATGTTCTAGTTTTTGAAGTGAATTTGATCCTGGCCTCAAACCCGTCATAGTGGCCCACTTCTGACAGCATGGTGGCACAGTAATGGGCATGGCCTTGCTCTGCGGCTTCATCTCTCCCAAAAACGTGTGCCCCAAAATGCTTCACAGATGCTGGAATAGATTGCTTGGAGCATCAGGCATTTGATAATAGCAGCTCAGAAGAGGCATTCTGCTTGGTCAGGATGGAGAGGACATGCAGGCTCTGGGCTTATCTTAAACCTACATGTTGACCTGGCTGTTGCATTCCTGTGCTCGGCCTGTATCAACAAAGGGGTGAGTGGGTCGCTGGTGCTGTTTTTCCCCTGAAACACGTGTGCTATCTGCTGCAGATAATGTCTTGAAGCAAAGTCAAGTGGTTAGTGAAAGCTTTGTTGGAAGCTACAAGAGCGTAGGCGAAGAGATATGCCTCTTTAAAGTAGGCACAATGCATGACAAAGAGGAAATAAGCTCTTGTTTTAACTTTGTATATATATTATGGTGGCCTCAGATTCTGTGCTGGTCATATGGCCAAAACCATGGTCATGGCTTCACACCAAGAAGGTCCTTGGGTTGGATTCATGGTCCAGGTGTGGCCTTTCTGTGTGGAGTGGAGTTTCTATGTTCTCCTCCAGGTGCTCCGGTTTCCCCTACCTTTGAAAACATGTGCAAGAGTTATGTTGGGGGGCCATGTATGTGAATAGTTGGTGGTCTTTCATGTGCCTTATGTTAGGTGACACTGCTTCTGTCATAGTGTGTGTAGTGAACGGAAAATCCAGAGAAAGTCCCGATAGATAAATAAAGATACTTGCTTATACTACGAAGTATAACATGCTGTTTTCACCAAGAACTTTTGAACGTTTTATTACGGCAGTCTGGCATGAAACATGTTCATTTAATCACATCTATAATTTTCTCAAAATTGTTTACAGTATGCACTTTTGCTAAACTCAAAAACAACTGCTACTGGAAAAAGGATTTGATATGATTGTCTGCAATTTGGGACGTTGCAGACCGTGGAAAATGAAGGGGAATTCAACAAGAGCATTGTAGTGCAGTCCAAGCTTTGCGCAAATATATAGGTCAAGGTTCTGTGCAAGGACATATTGACTACAGGACTGTGGAAACTCCGCTAACACCATGTTGGTTTTGGGTTGTCATAGCTGCGTTGTTCCCCCCTCCTTTTTAACTTGGCATCTCCGACTCTCTCCAACACAGTGCTTCATTATTGCAGAAGAGCGGGTGTGGGTGGAGGAGAAGGAAGGGAGTTTCACATGCCAGACAGAGCACAACTCCAAACCCAAAAGGCCGACGCGGAGAGGAACCGGATACTTGCTCATAGCGATGTAGCCGCTGACCGCTGAGCCTCAGATGTGACCGTGTATGCATGGCTTACTGCAGTGCGGTCGCCTCCTGCTCGCCAGCTGTTTCTCCGTCTCATGGGGGAATTAACATGATAGTTACAATTTTGGGACGGTCATGTGTGTAAAGTCATATTGAACATCTCACAAGCTGACTCATGGAAATATGTGGGAAGCCAAGTTGCAAGCTGCAAACCGTGTGAATACTCTGCTTTGAATGAAGCGAACAACATCATCCAGCTGCCAGTCACTCAGCTCTAAATCACAAGACTCCCATGTGTTTTCAAATACTACTTTCCCCTTTTTTTCCATAATTCTCTCCACTGAGACTTATAAACATTGCATGGCCCCTAATAAAAGTGAAATCGAAGTCAAGTCCTGAAGAATAAAAGTCTTTAAGAACGCTTAATACCACACTTTTTCTACCTTTTAGTCCCATCAGACAATATCACTTACTTGAGCAGCTTTGCCTAATGTTTATCTTAATGCAAGCTTGAACCCCCTTTTATTGGTCTCAAGTCACAAAGCACCATTTATTCGACACAAAAAGGCTATTCCACCATTTCCTCAAACTGTCAAGGAAATGGTTTTCTCTGCTCACTGGCGACTGCGTGCCCCTCTCTCACAGTGGTCCTATGACTTCATATATTTAGGAAGCATACTTGAAGAAAAGTTCCCATCTGGTAAGGAAGGATGTGAAACCCAATATGGATTCAATTACTTTTCAATTTAAACAATATTAAGACACATAAACACAAGTTGATTTAATTTTTTGTCTTCTCTGCAGTTTTTCTGTTTTTCTAAGGTTGAAGAGGACAGGAGGAAATGGCCGGGTTTTCCATAGAATATGCAGAGTTGCAATTAGGACATGTCAGTAATGATTGGAGTGAGGTCGTTTACTTTTTTGCTGATGATTAGAATCCCAGATCCTCGACCTGTCAAATATTGAGGCTGCAACAATAGTCAGTATTCAGTGTGAAGTAACAAGACAGGATTCAGATTGTCGCTCAAGATAATGTAATGGTTTTTCTTGTTGCTACAGTCTGTTATATGTGGTCAATGATATTTCACAACCTTAGGATAATGCTAAAACATATTCAGCCCATTGATCATTTTGATACCGATTTTGAAGTTCTCCTTGGCTGTCATGTCTTTTTCACAATATGGAGTTTGATATGGGACAATGATGAATGTTATTTAAAAATATAATCATTATTATTGTACGTGAAAGTGATGGATTAAACCATGATTGCATAACGCTGCCTACTTTCCTACTTCCCTGAATGCAGGTCTGCACTTGATCGAATTACATATAATGACTTTTCATTTCTGCTACAATGTGGAGATGCACCGTCCAAATTTTTCCATCTATTATCTGCAGATTCCCAATATGAAGCATTACCAGTGAAAGGAATGAAAGTGATTTTTCCGTTTTGAACTGGGTCCAAGTGTTTTATTAAAGAACTACTGTTGTGATTTAGGGATTTACAAAAAATAAGTAGCTAAAAATTCAGTTCAATTCATTTATCATTACAACAATTTATATAGCTATTATTTGAAAATGGTGTTAAACAATACCCAACAAATACAGTGGGGCAAGAAAGTATTCAGTCAGCCACCAATTGTGCAAGTTCTGTAATTTTCATCACAGGTACACCTCAACTATGAAAGACTGAATGAGAAAATAAATCCAGAAAATAAAAAAAATTATACAGATTTTTAAAGAAGTTATGGTGGAAAATAAGTATTTGGTCACCTACAAACAAGCAAGAGCACAGACCTGTAACTGTCTTCTACTCGTCACTTGTATTAATGGCACCTCATTATCAGTTTGAAAGACACCTGTCAACCTCAAACAGTGTTGTATCAGTGAACCTTATTATACTATTACTGCATTCTTTCCCTCCTGTGTTCTACCCTAATCATGCGACAACCAGATCTCCTGTCACTAAACGACTGCATGATTGGAATGCTCGTCCGTGACCAAAGCTATAATTCTTATGAACAGTAAATAATAACAGTGTTTACGTAGAATTATGTTTCTAACTGTTGTAAATCTGATTGCTCAATGGCACCTGTTACAAAGCTAAAAAATGCATCATAATTATAACCTGTGTGACGTCAAAACCCAAGTCAGTAATTCCAAACAATCCTGAAGTATGATCTATAAACTCGCCATTGTTCGCTTTGTCTACCCTTTGTCTTTGTCGCATACAACAACAAAAACAAAAAAACACCCTGTGGAAGTGGAGTTAAAGCTGGAGTTTGACTTTACCCCCAATAAATAACACATTTTTGTTTGTTCCAACATAGTCTATGTCTTTAGATAAATAATAAATTAGACCACAACATGCTGTCTCCATCTTATTCAAACATGTAATCTTTTTCATACTAAGCCCTGTGAGTCACTATTTGACACTTTGGGGAGGGAACTTCTTCTTCTTCGGTTATTTTCCGGCAGACTAGATGCCTCATGGCACATTGCTACCTCTCTCTCTGTGAAATCAGTCATCTCAGATAAATTATATCTAGAGCAGCCCGGTGGCTGCGAGAAATGGGGTGGGAGCTGATTGGCTGAGTGAGGGAAGTCCTCTTTTTTCTAATTTTTCCCTGAAAATTTGTATCTAAATACTGTATGTATGGCAGAGGCCCAAATTGCATTCATGTGAAAACTGTTTTGAAAGCGAGAAACAAGATTTTTATTACATTTTAAAATTTGGTATGAAAGTTGGGTACCTCAGCTTTATTTGCATATACTCTTACTTATTTTGTCTTTTTCTTCATTCCAGAGTCTGCTCACCTCTCCGCGGCGCTCTCCCAGCCCGGACATGAGCCGCCCCATACAGACTCCGACTGCTACAGCCGCGTCTGCATGGATCCTGCAGAGGGCGAGAGCGAGCGGCCGGTGAGCCTGGTGTCCACCCTGTCCTCCGGATCGTCCCGGGACAGTCACAGTCTCTTCGGGAGCACCGCAGCCCTCCCCTCCTCTGCCACGCCGCCCATCCCCAGCGAGGACGACATTGACCTGGAGCTCAGTCCCACCCAATGTAACGAGACCGAGAGGACAGAACACTGGACCGATGTGAACCAGTGGAACCAGAATAACGCCAAACGAAACGGCACCATTCGCCATTTCCAGCCTCCCCCTGTCATAACGGACGCCATGGCGCCTAACCCTAAATTGACATATGTGGACCGGGTTGTCATGGAGATCATTGAGACAGAGCGCATGTATGTTCGAGATCTGCGGAGTATTGTGGAGGTGAGAGGGTTACACTTTCTTATGAGGTCCACTACAAGCTTGTTTTCATAGCGATAGGCTGTATCACCTGCCTGAAACATTTCAATATTGGCGTCAGAATCCTTCTATATACCTTTTAATGTATTAAGTCATTTAAGTATTAAGTAATCCATCCATCCATCCATCCATCCATTTTCTACCCTTTAATCCATTTCTGGGTCAGGGGGGTGACAATCAGAGATGCCACCCAAGTCTTAATTAATTAATTCTTAATTAAGTAATCATGTATTCAAAAGGCCCCCATGATATGAAAAGTAAACACCAAAAATAACCACAATTGCATGCAAGTGATGAGCTATAAACAAAAAGATACTGGGGTATCTTGGAGTTCACGTTCCACTCCTCTTACAGTAAAAGCCTTACGCAATAAATGTTCCAATTATAAAACATCTCATATTTGTTGACCTCTTCTTAGTATTGTATAAAACTACATCATTTATGTGCGTGACTGCGTGTGTAACTGAATGATTGGTGGCTGTCAGGAGGGGTGGATGGCACAGTTTTGCAGCCCTTCTGCGGTCAGTCAACCCCAGGGTATGTGCAGCTACTGTCATGTTTACGACCACTATGACTAATGAACTTAAAGTGCCCTGGTGGTCATGAAGCGGGCTATACTGGCAGATTGCAAAACCGTCTTACATTGGGTCTGCTCTCCTCTCAGCAGATATGGCTGAACCTTAGCCTGGTAAAATGAGGCAAATGTAAAGGTCACATTTTTAACACACAAAGACCCTTGACATGGCATTCTTCATTTACTCCATACACTGTGGTGATGATAAGCAAATAATAGCTGCCCTGGGACAGACTGACAGAAGCAAGGCAACCAGGCTTACCTTCGGAGGTCTGACGGGGTCTGGCTTTTACATGCAGGTTGCGCCATAATGATACCATGATGTGAAACCTTTTGTGGAAGAAAAAAAAGTTTTGAATCTACTAAAACAAGAGATTTTATACTTGCTTCTTTATTTTGCTAAAGCTATTTTTGTTATTTTATTTTAATTTATATAGAGTCATTGTTCATTTATCTTATGCTGTGTGCTCCTCATTCCTTGTATCCGTGGCTGGTGAAGCAACACTGAAAGTTCCAAATTGTTGGACAAATAAAGGGTCTTAATATGGATCCAAGCAAAAAGCCAACCCTCCACCAGGAAAGGTGCATAGTCTTATTTGCCAAGAATCCACAAGTCGCCAACTGTTGCGTCTAAGTGGAGCTTAAATCATCCGTTTCCTGAGTGCGAGAAACGTATGCCTCGGTTGAATTAATACTGTATAACACCATGACTTAATGTCTGCACTGTGCTTTTGTGTTCACTTTCCAAATGGAAGCAAAAAGGAGACTGGTTGTAACAGCAGCTCCCAGTAAAGAAAGACTTCTCTGTTTGTCTCATGAATGTTCTTTGTGCGTGTCGTACGTCTGAGTGTTCAATGCATTGTTTGTCTCAGATTCACCGTAAACAAACCAGTTCACCAAATGCGTGTGGATTGAACATCTGGTATTCGTGTAAACCAGCGGAGAGATTATTGATGTTCTGCAAAGTATGGACATCCATTTGAACTGTTTTTCCTACGGCTGCACAATTATACCAATTTAACCAGGAGAACCCATGCTGCTGTGTGCACTCAAACCATTTCAAACTGCTTAACAAATATTTTTTTAACTTCTTATATCTAGTTTAGTGTTAAAGGAGCAGTAAATTTAACTTTTCTTTAGTACTTTTTAAAAAACAAAATTGTAGTATGGGCTAGGTTTGTTGAAATGTGGAGTTATATTTAAGTTCATGGCTCCATATGTGCTATTTTTTATTTATTTAACTCTTTTAACCCCAACCCACTGAAATAAGAATTTTTAAGCATAAAGGATATGGAAATCGCATCACATTGCAATGTTGGTCAACAATATTTTCACCAAAATTATGCTGCCAGAGGGCAGTACTAAGGCGGTTAGTGATTATTTCGGTAATCCATTATTTTTTATATTTGACCAAACAAAGCTAACGTGATGCCTCTGGAGAACATCTTCATGGAAAGGACCACTTACACATTGGGTTGTTTCACATTTAATTTCATTCTACAGTTATTATAGAATGATCTGAGGCACAACCTTGGTCTCAATTTCTATAATGTATTAGCTTGTTAGGCCCCCAGTTTGTACAATATCTGCTGTTGTTTAAGCTCAACCATCTTTGCCAGTGTCTTGTCAGTTCTGGCCTAATTTCATTTCAATATAAAAAGCAGAAAGCTCCTCGCATGCTTTTCATTTCTGCTGGCAGCTCGCCCGCTATCACACGATTTAGATTAGAAACAGCATCCCCTCCGACCCGACATTGCTCTTCTTCTTTAACAGCTGTCAAACATTTCCCCTTTCCTGACAGTAATGTCTTCAACAGAAGCAATGGACTGACGGGCAGTAAACCAACTCGCACCTCCGCTAGCCTTCGCGGCGCTAGCGTCAGGAGAAAAAGGAAAAATTGCTTGCTTTTGACAAATTCCTTTGAACTGAAGAAGTTTGTTTTAAGCGTACTGTACATCTACCAATCCAACACTACTGGTGGATTGTCTTTCAGGACTCATTTATGCACATAAATCCACCAGCATGATTTAATTACAAAGCAGGAGCAGATCAAATTGATGCCATGCTGCTTATTTTGACTTTGCACCAAGCCCAGAAAGTGCAGTGATTGTGTGGGCCCTGTTCTTCAGCCTAATCCACAGTTCCTACTTGAAGCTGGGGCACCAAAGCGGCTGCTGATGTGTCAATATTGTTATTCAGATGTGGTGGAGATTACGGAACAGCTGTTTATGCCACACATAACTAATCGCTTCCAGCACCTGGCCTGAACCGAACACACCCCAGCTTTGCATAGTCTGCATTGTTGTAAGAAGAGTTTCTTCATGTCTGAATGGGGCATAGGTAGAGAGTGACATTCAGTGGAGAGTGACATTCAGTGGATATTGACAATATTGATTATATGTTTTAAGGTATACATCTAGTCCACAAAGACCACCCATTTGACAATAGGAACCTTTTTAAAATGTAAATGTTCCAACAGTCACATTATACACTATTTGTACTACAGCTTTAATTTCAAATATTGACTCACAAGGTTCACTTAAAGGTGTATAGGAGGGTTTTCCAACATTTTAGGAAAGAGCTGCCCTCTCCACGTCTTGAACAAAACTCTCTGGTCCTATTTGATGAGCACGTGTCACCAGAATGATTGACAATTGGGAGAAGCAATAGTTTTTACCTTTTAAGTATGCGAAAAATCAAATGCTTTCTAATAAGACAAAGGCACACAGCTCATTCAGTTTGGGAATGTATTTATGAAACAAAAAGGTTAAACTTTTTGGATGAAACTCACTTTTGTCTAAAAAATATAGTTGTATCCTGCAACATTTTAACTTCACAACAGTTGTTATAGATTAAATAAAAATACTGTCCTTTTTATATTTTCAAATTGTCTGCAGTGTGTTTTTCTACCGTTATCAGCATGCCGTACTGCACGATTCTAACACTTGAATGAGTAATTGCGTAAATGAGGCAGTAGTGGTCCAGATGTTGGCATGGCAGCTTCATGCTCTACTATTTTTATCTGTGGAGTTTTAAGGGAGTACGCGGCTCCTCGTAGGGGGCTCAGACACAGAGTCTGGGTCCAGCAGGTCAGACCGCAGACTCTGACACAATCGAGACAATAAAGCCTTACAAGGAACGCTCCCAGAAGGTTGTGCATGAAGGATGAAATGTTTAAGGTACCGATAATGTACAAGTCGATAAAGGACAGCGCTTTTAGATCACATGTTTAGGTCTGCAGCTGAACTATGTCATGTGAAAGCAGGCTGCACATCATATCCAGCCTCCAGGACACATACAATGACCCCACTGTTTTCCCCATGTACACTCTACTTACTGTACTAACTCAAATATATTGGCTTATGTAAACAAGATTATGTTTATTTTTTTCTTTCCAGGATTATTTGGCTCACATTATTGACACAAACAATCTCCCTATTCGACCAGAGCAAGTGTGCGACTTGTTTGGAAACATTGAAGACATCTACGAATTTAACAGGTGAATTCCCCCTTATGTGATGAATATGTAAATGGTAGCATGTGAATGAAGGAAAAGGTTGACTGTTGCAGAATACTTGAAGGTTGGCCTTAGTCGGTCCTCTCGTTTTCCGTTTAATCATCTGTATAATGTCACTACACTTCGCTGCCAAAACACACATTAACATTCTCTACTTTCAATTGAACCAATTGAACCTGGTCTTGCCCAAACCAACAAGGCAAACTGAAGACTATAAGAGCGTTTCTACTGGCCCTGTTTAGCCTAGGCACCAGGTCCTTCTCGTGCTAGTTCTATCCAGGCCGAGCTGGTACTAAAGTGTTCTAGCTGACTGAGATTGGCCAGAGTCCGTTCACCATATAATTTCTTTGGATGCTGGTTTGTTGGGAGTAGGTTTCTAGGATATGGCACCAGATACTAAAAGCGTAATGGAAACAAGCGTATTGGTAGAGTAGAGCCGATTTAGAGCCAAGTAGTTGGTAGGGCTGGTGGAAACGGGGCTTTTGTTTCTAGTGCGCAGGTAGAATAGGACTGCGTTTTACAAAATGTGATGGTGTATATATATTGCTTGAGAAAATGAGTGTGCTAAACAACTATATTGAAATGACTTTATTCAAATAATCAAAGTACAATGTGGCAGAATAATTATTGTATTAATTATAATAGCAATACGAAAAAAAAATCAGTTTCTCTTCCTTTTTTGGCTTTATTTGAAGTATATAATAATCAGTCTTATAAAACGTTCTATATCTAAAAATGAATTAATTGTTTTACCAATAAATTAGCAAAAATAGACAATAAATATTGTAGCCCAAACTATATAGTTTTGTTCATCACTTAATGAACGATTGGTTGATATAGAAATGTTTGTGACTAGACTGTGGTCAGTAAATTACTTTTGCCCTCTGCATTTGACCCATTCTGCAAAGGCACAAGGGCCATTCTTTAAAGATCCAAAAGGTCTCATTTGATTTATCAGACCTGAATAATGAGTCTGTCTGAGCTGTTTGATATTAAGCAATGTGATATGAGCAAATGTTGACATAGTGATTAAGATTTCAAGAATTCTACTCTTGGAGACACCTTCAGGTCTGGCCCAAATGTTTCTAACAATGTTTGTACATATTTTGATATAGATTAAAAAACTATCCACAATTATATAGAAAGACACAATAAAATCCATAGTTTGACTTCTCACATATTTAGATCAGCTCTTTCAGACCGAAAAGTGAAAGGAGATTACCAAACTCAAAGACACTATGATGTGGTCTGATTTGTTTTACTTTTACAACACTTTATATCACATTATTTTTTTCTGTTTTAAAATATGTGAGAAAGGAAAAAATAAAAGTACCACAGCTTTAAGTAAAAAAAAAACAAAAAAAAAACGCTGAACTAATTCACAATTTTATGTATTTTATTCATGCAAACTCACTTCAGTCACGTAGTCCGGTTTTAGATTAAAGAAATACTGCCCTCCAGTGGCTGCGGTAGGCTAATACAAACTGCACTTGTACTTCTCAGCGAGCTTCTCCAGTCTTTGGACATGTGTCAGAGGGACCCCGTGGCAGTGGCCCAGTGTTTTGTGGATAAGGTAAGGCACTGTTTGGATATGTATTTTAGTATGTGATGTATAATGACCATTCTTATGTTCTTTTTTTTCAGAGCGAATCCTTTGAAATATACACTCAATATTGTAACAACTACCCCAAGTAAGGACTTCTCCTTCAGATATAGATGAATTTTATTTTTTTAACTAATATTATGATTTGTTTGCATGTTGCTTTTCAGCTCAGTGGCTGCACTTACAGATTGCATGAGGTGTAAAAATTTGGCCAAGTTCTTTAGGGATCGCCAGGCCACTCTGAAGCGCTCTCTGCCTCTGGGTTCATACCTGCTCAAGCCAGTCCAGAGAATCCTCAAATATCACCTGCTCCTTCAGGTACACGTCTAACTGGTCAAGAGGCAGTTGGTGAAAATGTTGTTATTTTAATGAGACGTTTTTATGTGTAGGAAATTGCCAAGCACTTTGACCCTGATGAAGACGGTTGTGAGGTGGTTCAGGAGGCCATAGAGACGATGACAGGCGTGGCCTGGTACATAAACGATATGAAGCGGAAGCATGAGCACGCGGTCCGAGTGCAGGTCAGGACTTTACTGATGCTGAATATGTTGAATGTGTTCTCCATCGCTCTAGCTGCACAGGCCGTTTTGAAGCTAGTCTTCTTCATAGCGCTGGTCTTCAGTGAATTCTGGATATTTACATAGAATATCAATGTATTATTTTCTATATATTTACTTAGTGTTTTTCTATGTCATTATTTTTTATGAAGTTATGTTTTAATTTTGAAATGTGAGAAGTTCTTCCTTTAACTAATTTTCCACCAGAGAATATCCAGTGCCTGTTACCATAGCAACACACTGTTTACTGTAAGAATTAGCGTTAGCCTTATATTCTTGCTGTATTTCAGTTGCAGTTATATTGACCAGTTTTAGCACTTCAAGGTAAACGTTTTAATGAATCTGATGAAAAACTGAATGTTCTTTGGAAGAATTTGTCAGAATTACATTGGTTTGAATAGGAGCAGTCAAAATAACGCCTTTAGGATTTCTCTTTTTCTGAATTCTGGGAGCCCTTTTGTTAAAGGTAAAATTCCTCAAAGACCAATCAGCTCTGAACCACAGCATCAATGAGTGACTCACGGTTTTTTCTTAAAAGTATGCAAATCATAGTGTGTTGTATTAGGATGACGATGGTATGATGTGGTCCGTTTTACTTTTACATGGTTTTTTCTTTTCCTCTCAATCATTCTTCCATTACAAAATGTATGCTTTGGTCAAAATGGAAGTTGGGTACTATACACACACACTTAAAATTTGCATTGCAATCCTATTTATTTCTTATACAGACTCAGACAACCATAGTCAGATAGCAGTGAATGGCAAATCTAAAATTCCCCAAAGACCACTGTTTGAAGATAGAAGCTGACAAAGGCTGTGTGGTTTGTGGACTTCCCAGTAGCTTTAGTTGCGTTGCATGACTCAGATAAACTACAAAAACCTTCAGATGAAATTTGCATATTATCCTGTCCTTGATATTCACAATTTTTATACTTTCCACACACAAAAAAACATTACTCCCACTGAATTCTGCTGCTGTTGAGCCCCTGAGCAACCCCACTCTCCCATAGGCCCCAGTGGACAGACCAAGGCTGTGTCGAGGCTGACGCAGCAGCCCTCCTCCCGTGGACTTGTCACCTGCAGGAGGATCAGTTAGGGAAGTGAACCACAACCTAGAAATTATAATTACATGACAATACATCACATTTTACAGTCATATTCTTAGTCTTGTCACACAAATGAAAATGAACAGAAAGAGGAAAAAAAAAAGTATGTTATCTGCCTGTTTTTATTAATTAAAGTAATAAAGGGGATAAGAAAATTAATCAACGAATGACAAAAAGATTAATCAAGTCAGATTAATTGCCCAGCCAGCCTCTGTGTAATATTAATGTCAGTCTTCTAAGGGTTTCTGACCATATTTAGTGATTTGCAACAGCACACATCGTGCGGCAGTCTAAATGTCTCAAGATTTTTTTTCATCCAAACACATGATGATCTGCACACTTTTCCTCGTCAATCTCTGGATTTTTTTTTTTTTTCAAAAGTTTGTTGTTGTGTTTACAGGAGATTCAGTCGCTTTTGATCAACTGGAAGGGTGCTGACTTGACCACCTACGGAGAGCTGGTGCTGGAGGGAACTTTCCACGTGCTCCGGGCCAAAAACACACGCTCGCTCTTCTTGTTTGAAAAGATGCTTCTCATCACAAAAAAACGGGGAGAGAACTATGTGTACAAGACCCACATCTCTGTACGTTTGTTCCGACGATCGTTCCAATGAATCATGCTCCATTATGTTATATAAAAGAGCAGTGTAGTGTGTTTTACCCTTGAAGAACAAAATGCTTATGTCCTTCATGTTCCCATTTCAGTGCTCCACTTTAATGTATCTGGATAACGCTAAGGACCCCCTGCTCTTCAGCGTCATCCATTTCAAACACCCCAAACAGCCTCACACTGTGCAGGTAATTTAGTTTCCCTTGTTCAAAGCCTGACGATGGCTTCTTTGATTCTCCCGGACGCAATGGGAGTCTGGCTTTACAATATATCTGTGTGTGTGTGTGTGTTCATGTCTATATTTTACCCCATTCTTTTCATTCATGTTTTTAATTCAATTTCATTCTGAGTGGAGTTCTGTACTGGCGACCTCGCTGCCATCTCTGTGTGGAGTGAGAGACAAATGCCCACAACAATTGTAAAGCGCTTTGGGACTCTGGTCTGTCAAAGGCGGTATATAAATATACTGTAGATTACTTACTTAACTCATTGACTGACATTGATTTATTTGTCTGAGACCCTCTTTTCAACTGGAAATTACAGGACAATAAAAATAGCTAGAAACAAACTTATTTTTGCTGATGAAAGAAGACAATCCAGTCTTCCAGAATCTGGTTTCATATTTCACATAGCCTTGGCATGGAATATTCTGTGGGTCTTGAGAATCAGGGAAATCATCAATTACCGGCTGGCAGTCAATGAGTTAAACAAACAAACAAAAACTATATACTCAATTCAATGTATTCTTGTATAGCCCTAAATCACAGCAGTGGTTTTCTTGGATGACTTTACAAAACCGTTGAATTCACAAACACAGATCAGAGAATCAAATCGTTCAAAACAAGAAAATGCAACAATAAAAAAAAGGTGAAGATGGCCATTGTCCATAAATTATGATAAATGTCAATAAATAAGTAATATAGAGGTCTCAAATACAATCTGGTCTTATCATTCCTACAAACTTAAGCCGATGTTTCCGTAAGTCTTCAAAATGTTCACTTCACGTTAGGGCTGGGCGATATGGCAAAAAAGTAAAATCTCGATTTTATTTCCTGCTTTAGACGATGTCGATTTTAAATTGATTTTCATTAAAGTCACTCAAGACAGACTTTGCCCTTAAACATTTTTTTATCTTCCCGCTCAATATTCAAGTTTCAAAACTATTTTTTATTTGTTTCCCCCAATACATATTATAAAAGTCTTGTACAGACTGTGCTGATATCGCAAGTATAATTTATGTGCTGCTGGAACTCTCACAATATCCCTCATTCGATTTCACGATTTTCACATTTTTCACTAATTCGATTTTTTCAAAAGCCAATTAATTGCCAAAATTCGATTTATTGCCCAGCCCTACTTCACGCTATGTGTTCATTTCAATATTCAGGCCAAGTCGGTAGAAGAGAAGAGCCTCTGGTCACATAACATCAAGAGGCTCATACTTGAAAATCACAGCACGATTGTTCCACCAAAGGTAAATTTAGTTAAAATACTTAATTTAGCGTTTGATGCCTGTTTACATAATAATCACTTTTCACATTTGTTTCTAGGCCAAGGAAACCAAATTGGAAAATGCTAATTGTAAGTATTAAGCAAATTAGGAGCAACTTAAGTAGTATGGATAAATGTCTATTGTGTGTAATTAGTGCACTAGTATATAGTTGTAACTTTAAGAAATGTAGATTTTTTATTTTTTTAAAATGCATTTTTATGTCCTATTTTTACTTTATTACTTGTTTGCACCGATAGCCAGAGCAATTTCCTTGTTTGAAACTTCTGATCCTGATTCTAATACAAAGTAAAATGTATTGCTTAAAATGTGTTTGTTATATTTGGTCTGGAATGATTTGAACTGCTTCTGTTTTGGCTTAGATCCGGGAAAGTACAACTACAGTCCGGAGAGGATGAAGAAGTCAAGCAATCAGGCTGAGGACCAGCACAGAAGGGGCCGCAGGAGATCAGGTATAAAACGAATCAAAGAATGCTCAATTGTACAATAATGTTGCAACATGTAGGTTTAATTCGTGCTGTTTCTGTCTCCCTAGAACCTGCTAAACAGATATTTAGAAGCGCAAAAGGTTAGTAAAAGAGACCTTATTTACATTTTGAATTGTTACGTGGTCTCATTATGCTTCGGCTTTGTTCCTTCCCAAAGACACCTTGAAGGCAGATCAAAAGACACACTCCACAAGCTTATAAAATAATACACATATATTACTCTGGTTAAATGCTCGTTTGTACCAAGCTCTTTGAATAGTCAGATCTGGCCTCCACTTTATGGTCTGTGCACTTTCATTCTTGTCTAAACTATTGTTAAAACACTGGAAAGACTTCTATTCTTCAGACTCTTTGCTCCCAGAACAAATCAATTGTTTTGCCAATTTAATGAAGGAGCAATTTTCATGTCATCTTCTCTATCTTGGTGAGGGAATAGGTCATCACTTCCTGGGTAATTGCATCATGACCTGTTCGTGCCAGAGAGAGAGAGAGATATTTCTGGTATTTATCTAATCACGGCCTCCCATCAGTCTGCCCCAGACTTAACTCCTGCCTCTTTGCTGGTGCACACTGAGGTTGTGTCCGCGCTCTAATTTTACAGGATTAATGTGTTTTCATATCAGATGTAATTATTATCTAATTGTTTTTGCATCTTCTTTTTTTGCATGTCTGCTTCACAGCTGTACTGAAGGTAAGACCTAAATGCACTCCCTATTTATCCTAGCCTTTTTCTACCACAGCTGTGCTTTCGCTCAGTAGGCTGTAGTGAGAGATGCTTTTACTTCAGGGCTGCACAAAGATTGCAAATTGAACTTTAAGAAACTCCTCCAACTCAAAATGAAACCATTTAATCTTAAGTGAATCAAAAAAGTAAAAAAAAAACATATCTCACTCTGAGCGAAAGCTTCTTTATATGTCTGTTCCATTTGCACCTCTGCTATTGCTTCTGACCTTGCAATAACAAGGCACCTGTGTGACTCCCTGCTGCAGCACGCAGACAGTGAGGGCGCCCTGCTGGGAGACAGGCGGTCTCTCCAGCTCCCCTCCAACACCGAGCACCAGGCTCACGGGCCGAGTGTGAAGAACTTTGTAGCCTCAAGTGAGCAGCTATGTACCCCTGAATGTGACGAGAGAGCCGGCTGTCCTACCGATGGGGCAAATGACTCTGACAAGGCCACGGAGGCTGAGGAAGATGAGGATGAAGGAGAAAATTACAAGGATAGTCTGATGGGGGGCGACCAGGTAGCCGACTTCGCCAGCTCAGTGCTGGCCGCCATTTCCTGCTGGCAGTCTAGAAGCAGGGCTATGCTTTCTACTCACTTCACAATGGTGAGGGTTTCACATTCTGGGTCTCTTTTCTGTTTGTGTTGTTTGCTTCTCTGTGCTCACAGCGTTAGGCCTCGTCCCACTCACTCCCTCTTCACTTTGGTCCATTACTAACACCTGCTCAACTAATGGTTTGGTTTCAATTGTGTCATGAAATGGAATGTTATTTTTGTATATAGCATTGTTCTGTAAATGCTAGCTAAATACTAGCATTAACATGATTGTTATTGTAAATATATGTAGTAAAATGCATGTTTTTGTTGCATTTCACATGAGTAAACAGCATGTTGTTTGTTGTTGTAAACAATGTTTTTTCACCCAATTCATATAACCCACTAGCCTTACCAGCCAGATCCTCTACTGTCTGGCTAATAATGGCTGACTTATAATCCACTGATGTCAAGTAGAGGAAATGCAATCTTTAAATAAGTGTCATGTTTTGCTCGTGTTATTAGGATGATGTCAAAGCCGATAGTATTCAGAACGTGCCATTGGAGGAGACAGAGACTCGGGGCCTGGGGGACCATTATGAGGCTGCTGCTGGAACAGAAGCTCACACAACGCAGGTGTTGGGCTGCTCTGATACAATCAACAGTTCACATGTGGTTTCTGATCGAGAGTCATTATCCTCTTCTATAGAGGTGAAACTCTGGAAAAGAATATCCTTCAAAAGTCAACTTACAGTGCCTTGTGAAAGTATTTGGCCCCCTTGAACCTTTCAACCACCATTTCGCCACATTTCAGGCTTCAAACATAAAGATATAAAAATTAATATTTTTGTCAAGAATCAACAACAAGTGGGACACAACCGTGAAGTGGAACAAAATTTATTTAAACTTTAGGGGGCGACAGTAGCTCAGTTGGTAGAGCATTGGCCTTCAGGCCTGAAGGTCGTGGGTTCAATTCCCACCTCGACACCTTCTCCACCGACTCCCACTGATGACTGCTGTCGTTGTGTCCTTGGGCAAGACACTTAACCCCACTTTGCCCAAAAGCCCCCGCTGAAAGATCAAGGCTATGCTCACACTCAGAGAGCAGCCGTCCTCCTGTGGACTCACCACCTGCAGAGGGTCAGTGAGGGGCTGGTGCTATGAGACTTGGGTGGCATCTCTGATTGCCACCCCCCTGACCCAGAAATGGATTAAAGGGTAGAAAATGGATGGATGGAATTTAAACTTTCTTAACAAATAAAAAACTGAAAAGTGGGGCATGCAATATTATTCGGCCCCCTTGCGCTAATACTTTGTAGCGCCACCTTTTGCTGCCATTACAGCTGCAAGTCGCTTGGGGTATGTCTCTATCAGTTTTGCACATCGAGAGACTGGAATTCTTTCCCATTCTTCCTAGCAAAACAGCTCGAGCTCAGTGAGGTTGGATGGAGAGCGTTTGTGAACAGCAGTCTTCAGCTCTTTCCACAGATTCTCGATTGGATTCAGGTCTGGACTTTGACTTGGCCATTCTAACACCTGGATACGTCTATTTGTGAACCATTCCATTGTAGATTTGGCTTTATGTTTTGGATCATTGTCCTGTTGGAAGATAAATCTCCGTCCCAGTCTCAGGTCTTTTGCAGACTCCAACAGGTTTTCTTCCAGAATGGTCCTGTATTTGGCTCCATCCATCTTCCCCTCAATTTTAGCCATCTTCCCTGTCCCTGCTGAAGAAAAGCAGGCCCAAAGCATGATGCTGCCACCACCATGTTTGACAGTGGGGATGGTGTGTTCAGGGTGATGAGCTGTGTTGCTTTTACGCCAAACATATCGTTTTGCATTGTGGCCAAAAAGTTCCATTTTGGTTTCATCTGACCAGAGCACCTTCTTCCACATGTTTGGTGTGTCTCCCAGGTGGCTTGTGGCAAACTTTAAACAAGACTTTTTATGGATATCTTTGAGAAATGGCTTTCTTCTTGCCACTCTTCCATAAAGGCCAGATTTGTGCAGTGCACGACTGATTGTTGTCCTATGGACAGACTCTCCCACCTCAGCTGTAGTTATCTGCAGTTCATCCAGAGTGATCATGGGCCTCTTGGCTGCATCTCTGATCAGTCTTCTCCTTGTTTGAGATGAAAGTTTGGAGGGACGGCCGGGTCTTGGTAGATTTGCAGTGGTCTGATACTCCTTCCATTTCAATATAATTGCTTGCACAGTGCTTCTTGAGATGTTTAAAGCTTGGGAAATCTTTTTGTATCCAAATCCGGCTTTAAACTTCTCCACAACAGTATCTCGGACCTGCCTGGTGTGTTCCTTTAAACAGAACCCTGAGACTATCAAAGAGCAGGTGCATTTATACGGAGACTTGATTACACACAGGTGCATTCTATTTATCATCATCAGTCATTTAGGACAACATTGGATCATTCAAAGATCCTCACTGAACTTCTGGACTGAGTTTTCTGCACTGAAAGTAAAGGGGCCGAATAATATTGCACGCCCCACTTTTCAGTTTTTTAACTTTTTGAAGCCTGAAATGTGGTGAAATGTTGAAAGGTTCCAGGGGGCCGAATACTTTTACACACTGTATAATCTATGACTCTCATGATGCGCCGAGTGAGATATGAGCATTAGAATAAATCAATCAAAATGATCATAAACCAACTCGTATGTCACTGTGCATGAATAATATATTAGTTACACATTTTAAATTACTGAGCAATATTCTAATTTTCTGAGTTTCACCTGTATTTACTCCAGGAGTTGCTTTAAAATAATATCTTCATCAATACTTTCATGTTTATACTCAAAATGTCTACTTAAAACCCTTGTGCAACCCTCGGGACAAATGACCCGCCACGAGAGGGGTCTAAATGACCCAGGGCTGGTCAAGTTAGGAGAAATCATCCAAATTTAACAACAACAAAAAGTATTTGTGACTGGTCAATTGGATCAATTTGAAGGGATATGTGAAATAACTTTCAAAATGGATTACAAGTTTAAGTTTAATTAGCTCAATCTTATAGTTTTAATCAAGAGTACAAATTATATTATTATTATTACATTATTGGCTGCACGGTGGCTGAGTGGATGGCACTCTCGCCTCTCAGCAATCCCGGTCGGAACGGGGTCTTTCTGAGCTGAGTTTGCATGTTCTCCCCGTGCTTGCGTATGTTTCCACCGGGTACTCGGGTGTCCCCTACCACTAAAAACATGCACACTAGATTAAATCCTCCAGCTCCGGTCCTGACCAAGCCGAGCATCAACATCTGGAGATGGGTTCCCGGGCGCTGTAGTACAGCGACCACTGCTCCTGACGTAAACCTTAGTGGCATCAGGATGGGTCAAATGCAGAGGATGAATTTCCCTACGGGAATCAAAAAAGTGCACCTTAACCTTTAAAACTATAAGATTTTAGTAGATTCATTAGATAATTAACTTGGAAGGAAACAACTTTACATACGTACCTTGAAATGTGTTCATTTAACATTAAAAGAAAATTTAATTAAAAAAATTAATAAAAACACCATATAACGCTAAAAATAAACCAGTTGAAGAGCGCAAGGTTCATGTTTTCTGGACTCGGCTTCACATTTGTGTTGTTGTTGTTTCAGGTCTCGGTGGAGGACATGTGCCCTCTCGACTTTGTTTCTCCCTCCGAGTGCAGCCATCAGAATGAGGTGCCGTACTGTCACACCCCAGAGTCCATACAGACCAGCACCCCGGAGCTCCACAACACATCTCAGGAGACAGTAGAAGAAGACGAAGCAGGAAGTGACTCCTCCGGTTTTCAGGTGGAGGAGACAAACGTTCTGACTAATGGAGAGATGTCGGAGGAGGAGCCGGAGATGGTGGCTCACAGTAAAAACATGCTGAATCAGGCCAGCGTGATGAGCGAGCGATTTATCACCAGCCTTTCCAGACAGAGCAGTCTCATCTCGGAGGACTTGGGTTCTGTTGCATGTTCCTCACCTCTGACTGATGAGCCCTTTACCAGCTCCTCTGCAGCTGTAGATGTAGTTAAGGACATTCAAATGTTCACTAGGTCTCCAGAACCACCTTTGTCCTCTCCACATCCTGGGCTACATGACTTTGTTACAGAAGAGCGTCGGACCACTCTTTCGAAGCAGGATCGGCTTCTCATCCACAAAATCAGAACATATTATGAACATGCCGAGGACCAAGATGTTGCCTTCAGCATCAAACGCAGGGAGAGTCTGTCGTACATCCCTGCTGGGCTGGTTCGACAGCTGAGCCGACAGATCAACAGTGTGCCTCTCGATCAGGCCACTCCACCTCACCGAAAGGAACCTGCCCGAATGAGACCCACTTCCTGGTCTGTGTTTGAGCTTCCTGGTTTGGACAAGAGTCAAAATTCTGATTTGATGTTCAACAGTGGCGTTCATGAGGACTTCAGGCATCCATCAGAGATGCTCCGAGTTTGGGACGAAATGGCTTTAAAGGAGGAAGAGGCTGCAGAAACTCTGAACACTACAGAAGAGCCTTTATCGATACAAAGCCCTCTTAATTACAGTCTAGAGAGTGCAGAAGAAAGCATCACACATGAGGATCACACTGCAGAACAAAGCCCCACAAACACCCCCGTGTCCTCCCCACTCTGCCTGGAGCAGGCTAAAGAGGACCAGGACTCTGAACAGGACCAGGGGCATTTCAGTCCAGAGCATTTACCCACAAGCATCAGATTTAGGACAAGTATGGACGAGGACCAAATCCTCCATGATATGGGAAAGATGAAAAACAAAGTTTTTCATTTGGCACGTCAATATAGTCAACGCATCAAAAATAACAAACCAATGAAATGGCAAAGAACCCAAGAAACAGGGAATCAGTCTGCTCTAAACATGCCGGCTGTGCAGGAGGAACGGCTGCAGTTAAGAAAAAATGGTAAATTGAGTGCTCTATTTTTTTGTTATTTTCTGTAAACTAATAAAACCATCCATTTATTTTTTGCCTTACAGGTAAACCAAATCTCAGATTGGCCTTGAATGTTGCGACTCAAGCCGTGATTCATGAAGTGAGTTCTCCAAGTCCAGTGCAGAGTCCGAGCTCTGTTCTGAGCTCCCAGAGCACACTTGTGTCTCCTCTGACCCCACAGTCTGAGAACTTCCACTGGCCCGATGTCCAGGAGCTGCGCTCCAAATACACCAAGGACAACACGCCCACAGCGTCCCTGACCAGCACACCAGTCCAAGACCCCGGCGCCCTGACCATCAGAGACCAGACTAACTCAGAGAAGTGCAGCAGCTTCTCTGACCTCCACAAAGCTCTGGCAGACTGTCCCAGGTCCAAGTCTGTCCCAGTGCAGTGCCGGTCTGGGATCGAGGACTGGCCTCTTCCTAAAGGCCGCTCAGTCCTGTCCAGGTGGAGCTCTTTAGACCACATGCTCGGCTCTCACCCGCTTCATGAAGTCCAAAACCTGCAGCGTCCAGTGAGAGGCCTCCACACAACCAGCCAGCTGTGTTTGGCCTCGAGAGACTCCGGGTCAGAACCCCACCTCCATGACGGTCTGGACTGTAGGCCTGCCCTCAGCTCAGGGAAAATGACTGAAAGTAATATTGTGAAAAGTTTACGTGCCAAATTTCAGAGTTTAAGCACCGGCTCTTGAAAACATGTGCATGTTTGAGCCACAAAGATGGCCGTTGGTTACTGTCAGAGGGAAATATACTATTTAAATAATATAATGTAAATATGCATATGGACTGTTGTACTAAGTTTTGTAAACATGTAAATAGCTCCTGCGACTGCAGGATAAGATCCTGTTATTTGGTTCCAAACCATTATATGCCATTTGCTATAACCACTATAGCACCACTGCTCTGACTAGCCTTTCAGGGGAATTCAAAGTGGCCAATATCAGATGGATTTGCTGCTTACGCCTGACGCCAAAGACACTTTTTTTATGTCCGTGAACTGTGTCCGCAACAATAGGCTTCCACATGCACATTAACATCACTGGACCTATGTTTGTCATTTTAGCCAGCTCTATGTATTTATAAAACTGAATATCTGTGGAGCTTTGAGCTTCATGTAAATACTGGTCTATCACCTTTTTACTTTTGCTTTTCAGAAAATATATAATTTTAAATAAAATGTCTCGTTGATTTATGTTAATGAAGAATGTATATTTAACAAAAGCTTTTGATGGGTCAACACTGAGGTTAAACTTGAGTGATGAACTAAGATTGTAGCCAAATAATCTCATCAAATTACAGCTCAAATTGTATGAGTTATTATAAACGGGAAACCTGCATGTGAGTGATTTTATCAGATCTACTTCTGGGAACTCCAGGTGTTACTGTTGGGACCTCGCTGCTTCTTCTTCTAAGAATAACTCTCTGTGAAGCACAGCCTGTATCATTGTAAAAAATATAGTTTCTCTACTTTTAATGTTTAAAATGTACAGAAACAATATTTGTCCCCAAGGTATGATTATATTTAGTACACCTGTAGAGTGGTGTCGTGGATAGATGTTTTGGGTTTTTTAAATATTTGATTTGCACCATAAATGACCCTGGTAAAGGGTTCAGTTGGCCCAGACCTAAAACTTAAAAAACATACATCGGTAAACATGCTTTGGACCTGAACACACAGATGTCAACGCAGAGTAAGGTCTGTCTGTTCAGTGATATTGAACTCCAGCATTTGGCTCCAATGAGACGCGCGTGCGTGTGCGTGCACGCGCCGCTCTCTCTCCTGCAGAAGCAGCGACGCTCTTCAGATGACGGACACAGCACCAGGCGTCACTCTGGTCCTGAACAGTGCGTGTTTAAGCCGACGCAGGTGCCTCCCTGGTTTCCATGAAGAATGGGCTGCGCTATTTCAGGTCTGGCGGGCAAATCCGAGTTTGGAGAAAGGAGCGTGGAAGATGCTCCGACCCGCCTCAGCGACGCACACATTCAGATGATCAAGGACTCATGGAAAGTTATCCGGGATGATATCGCCAAAGTTGGGATTATTATGTTTGTCAGGTAAGATTCACAGTCTATGGTGAGTTCACCTTTACTCTGGGTTTATTTTTATTTTTATAAGGCATAAAAAACAAAGGAGCAGTCTGAGTGACGTTCTCTTCACTGTCTGAGCTGTCATCCTGCTCCACATGTAACCTCCATCTCTGACACTGCGCAGGCCCCATATGTGCAGGTTATAAGATCATGATTATCACACCTGGCTATTTATACTATTAGTGTAATTAACTGCAGAAACGATGGGTTGCCAGGTCATGCCACGCACACCTCATTTATCTTTAAAGAGACCAATTAGCCCTCTCACTAAGCAAAGGACAACCTGGGCAGATAAAAGTAAATGTTTTTTATAGGCTTATCGTAATTGCGTTTAGGCCCAGTTGCTTGTTTGTTTTTACACTAAAGTAACAATGACTTTTTAATAGAATCACCTGTTACCTTTAGAAGATATGAATTACAAATTGCCTTTATAATTGGACTTCACAACAAACACTGTCATCTATCATTTTCCAGTGGTGGGTTCAAGCAGAGAAGAAATATTGAGCCTAAGACACACACACGCTGACCATCCTCTGCCCAGATGCATGCAGGTTCATTCTCGCCGGCCCCAGGACTTTGAAGCCACAGTGACATCAACATAATTATGCGACCTTTTCCAGGCTGCAAGTGCACAACAAGATGCTCCCCCCTCCACGGCCGCATGTCTCTAAACCCTGAGAGAGGATCTTTGCTGGCCACGGGCAGATCCTCCTCCCCCATCATTACCTCATATCACACATCTTGACCTCTTGCTTCACTCTGGCCGCAGGTTAATACTATATGACAAATTGAGATTAAGAGATCGTCCCACAGTGAGGAAATGTCAGTGTTGCATAACCGGTCACAGAGCAGTAGGAATGAGGAACAATAACTCCATACTAATAACAAAATAGAATAAAAACTCTAAGTTTAGCATAACAAAGAAGCAGCTATATATTGTTTAGGTTTTGCATGGTAAGGAAGCAAATCTAAAGTCTCCCACTTTAGTATCACGAAGAAGCAAGAATTATGTATAAAATCTCTAACATTAGCGTAATAAAGAAGCAAGCCTAAAATACTGTATACTGTATAAATACTGTACTCTAGCGCACAAAATATACAATTGTATGTATACATCTGCACATGATTGATTGATTTAATTTTATTTAAGAAGAAATTTCACAATCATAAGTAATTACAATATTTACATTCCTTATTTTACATGACTTTTTACTTGTTGCCTTCTAACATAAATATACAATGAAGCAACAATATTTGCTCTTGTCTCACCATATGTTGTAATATCTACAATATCAATGTATAATTACAAATACATTTTTATCTACAATTTGTCAGCTTGAAATGGAGTGGGAAGGAAGTAAAAACTTGTAGACTCCCTAAATGCAAGAATGTTGTTATTTTGGTTAGCAGCATGAGAGTATGGCCAAAGTGACTAAGAGACAGTGGACACATGTGGTTCTGTGAGGCACACCGATGAGTAAAGCGACAGTGTTTCAAATGTAAGCAAATAAAAAGAATAATCATACATAACTCATAAATAGCACTCGCACATGAAATGCAGTGTTAAATATTCCAGCATGAATATCAATAGACCTGTTTGAGTCTGGCTGCTGCCTGTTTGTCCGGATGCATTAGAGTAGGTCAGGACCACCCACAGGCCCCCGGGCTCAAAGAACTGCTCCCACTGTGGCTCTACAATAATCATATCACTAACACCCGACAGACACACACTGGCTGCTTGTTGATGAAGCAGCCGGCCTTTCTCTTAATCAGATCAGATTGACGTTGGTTGATTTGGCTTAAGAGCACACAAAAACACAATACGGTACGCTCATTGACTATTCTTTACAACCGTGCAGCTCCTTCTCCCACCTAACGCCGTGATTATGTATTATTGCCGGTGATTGAAAGTCATCTTAAGGCCATCACACTTCTTATAACACCTCTTTTTCTTGAACGACCAGAGCGAGTGCAGCGCAGACGTGTTAAAACCGGCAAAGTGAGTGGCTTTTGGCAGATAACAGCAAAGGCACTGGCAGGCTTTTATTCTATTGTCAGCAAGAAACGATCCTATTTTACTGCTCTGTTGATTCTTCTGAGGGAAAATGGTTTGAAACTGGCAATAAACTTGAATGGATTACACACAAATACCAACTAAACTTGTATCTATTAATTTCACTGTATTCTTGTATCTAAATCACAGCAGTAACAAAAACCTTGAATTTTCCGACACAGATCAGAGAAAAAAACAGTTCAAACACAAGAAATGTAATGATAAGATTATTTACATCATAACATTGTTTACTTTTGACCGCGCTGGAAAACGGCTAAGTAGCTCTGAAACCGCTCTGTTTTGTGCTTATTTTATTTTTCTTGCTTTTTTCTACCTGAGTTGTTGCTGCTGTACAATATACCAGACCAGAGCAGAGAGGATTCATGGTTTTACACTGGTCCAGACCGGAGTGGAGAGGATTTATGGTCCAAACCAAGTGGATCAGGTGAAAATCCATTGGAGGAATGCTAACTTTTTGAAAAATGCTAATGAACCATTCATCACTTTCATACTTTGGACCAGAGCAGAGAAAATGGTCCGAACCAAGCGGCTCCACCTTGTGACCCGTCCTGCTCCACCCAGAGGCTACTCCACCTCTGCTGCTCTGACCCGTCCTGCTCCACCCAGAGGCTACTCCACCTCTGCTGCTGTGACCTGAAGGGCTGTTGCTGATTATTACTATTGTTAGCTTTTTTTGAAGGATCAATTATATTTTTGTTGTTGCTGCTACTGGACACTTGAATCGCTCCGACGGGGATCAATAAAGTATCTATCTATCTATCTATCTATCTATCTATAATAAACACATATTTCCATTGGTCCATAAGGGGCAGATGACCAATGCCCATGAATGATAATAAATGTCCATAATTGTTTTTGTTTTTTGAGTTGAGTGTCCTGGATCATCACCACTGTCCATATTCATCAACGTTCTGCGTCCTTTTCTGTGGGCAGATTGTTTGAGACACATCCCGAGTGCAAAGACGTCTTCTTCCTCTTCCGTGACGTGGAGGACCTGGAGAAACTCAGGACGAGCCGGGAGCTGCGAGCACACGGACTACGGTAGAAATTCGCTCACAAAACACTTCTTGTTTTTGCTTTGATCTGATGCGTCACATTATCGCCATGATGCAGAACGCCTTTAAACTCGTGCAGAAACCCCTGTGTTGCTCTTCACTTGTTTATTTGGATTAGCTGTTGCTGTGGAAACCTCTGCTCTTTCTGGAGTCGGTAATATTCAAGGAAGAGTGTTTTTCAATCATCCACTGGTTTGGGAATCATCGTGACCGCTTCATCAAATGGTCACTCTCCTCTAAAAGCATCTCTGCATTCAGCGCCAGTGCATTTGTTTTCATTAGTGAGAATCCAGCGCATTGTGTCACAACATCACAACACACCACATCACAACCACTGGGATGTCACTGTGTGCTGCTGTGTACTAATGTGTATTGTTGTGTATTGTTGTGTACTGGTGTGTACTGTTGTGTACTGTTGTGTACTAGTGTCTTCTAATGTCTACTGCTGTGTACTGCTGTGTACTGTTGTGTACTTGTGTACTGTTGTGTACTGTTGCGCTCTCTGTATCAGGCTAAAACAGAGCATTAGCCTGAGGAGAGGTGCAGAGGCCAGTCTGGTTCAGTCTGGTTCAGTTCAGTCTGGTTTAGTCTTGTTCAGTCTGGTTCAGTCTGGTTCAGTTCATCTCAGTCTGGTCCAGTCTGGTTCAGTCTGGTTCAGTCTGGTTCAGTCTGGTTCAGTCCGGCTCAGTCCGGCTCAGTCTGGCTCAGTCTGGCTTAGTGCTTATGTGACCAAGGTCCAGGGCTTGGTCAGGACTAACGTCCCAGAGAACAAGGGCCGAGGCTGCTCCACAGTCATTTCAGAAACACAGACAGCTGCTGTTCTGTGGCGACGACTCACACAATAATAATTGTATTATTGAACCATTACGAGTCTGCGTTCATATTTAAAAAGGAAAATGCATTATTTTATGATTAAAGATTCACTTCAATTACTTTTTACTTTATAATTTGATTTATTTTTTCATTTCAAACCTGTTGAAGAGAATAAAACAACGGACTCTATCAGAGGTGGATGGAGAAGATGCTTATGATTCTACCGCCTCTCACTTCAATACACACACATAAGAATAAGAATAAGAATAAGAAAACTTTATTGTCCACCAAGGTGGAAAATTGCCTTTGGTTATCACCTTAAAATACATAAAAGACACACATCCAGCACAATATCATGTGGCACTACATTCACAGAACAATTGGAAGAACAAACCAACAAGGCCACCTCCGGCCTAAAGACAAGAGTCAAGCTCAGGACTGCTCAAAGCTTAAGAGTGTTTACCGCTTTCACTGCTCTGGGCACAAAGGAGTTTTTAAAAATGTTTTTCTTGGCTGATATCACTCGATATCTCCGTCCTGACGGCAGAAGTTCAAACTTTGGGTTTAGCGGATGGGAAGCATCTTTAATGATGAGCTCAGCCTTCTTTCCCAAGCGCTCCTCAAACAAACACTGGAGAGATCTTTGTGGCTGCCCAATGATCTTCGAGCTCTGGTTCACAATCCTTTGGAGTTTGTTTTGGTTCTTCATGCTGAGGTTGCCAAACCACATCAGCATGTTAAAGGTGAGGATGCTCTCCACCAGGCTCTTGTAGACCGTCTCAAGGGTAGAACGACTCACACCAAAATTATTCAGTCTGCGAAGCAGATACAGTCGCTGTGAGCATTTCTTAAAAATGAAGTCTGTGTTCGTAGAAAAGGTAAGTCTCCCATCTATGTATGTGCCAAGGTATTTGAAGTCATCGACCATCTCAACATTGGCACCATGAATCTTCACTTCTATCAATGTCTCTTTATCAATGTGCACAATGAGCTCTTTTGTTTTCAAAACATTGATTTCTAAAAAGCTGTCCACACACCACTGCTGTAACATGGACAAATGATTAAAATAGAGACTCTCCAAAACAGTGTTCCCTTTCTGTAGTAAGGCTACAAGAGCCATATCATCGGCATATTTAAAAAGTTTAAAAGATTCCTCATGAACTTGAAATGCATTAGTATAAATAGAAAAAAGCAAAGGAGACAGAATTGTCCCTTGAGGCGCACCTGTATTTAAGACAGTCACTTCTGAGATATCAGAACCAAGTACTACTCTTTGAGGACGATTAGATAAAAAGTCTCTGACCCATTTGATTATACCTCCATTAACACCCAGGTCCATAAGTCGACTCAATAAAATATGTACCTGCATCGAGTTAAAAGCTGACGTGAAATCCACAAAGAGAATTCTAGCATAGTGGTCAGAGGCCTGTAGATGTTCGGCTACAGTGTTAAACAGAGTGATGGCTGCGTCCTCTGTGCTTCTCCGACTTTTGTATGCAAACTGTAAGTTGTCCAAACAGTGTGATACAGAGGACATGATGTATTTGCTTACAGTTCTCTCCATGGTTTTACACAAGATGGAGGTCAGTGCAATAGGCCGATAATCATTCAGTACAGATGCTCCAGCGTTCTTAGGGACAGGCACAATATTTGTACGCTTCCAGGACTCAGGGCAGGTGTGTGTCTGGAGAAGGACATACACACACACACATAAACATACACACACACATAAACATACACATACACACACATACACACATAAACATACACATACACACACACACACACACACATAAACATACACACACATAAATATACACACACACACACATAAACATACACATACACACACACACACACACATAAACATACACACACACATAAACATACACACACACACAAACATACATACACACACACATAAACATACACACACACACACACATACCCACAAACATACACACACACACACACACACACACACACACAAACATACACACACACATGCAAAACACGCACACGCATGCAACACACTACTCACACACACACACACACATACAGTAACTATTGTAACAGAACATGCAGACTTGTGTAAACATGTTTAATTATTTCACAAGAAAATTAAACAATAATAATAATCAGCTGATCACATAAATAGTGATATATGTTTAATACTTTCTCTGATAACTTAAATCATGATTTTATAAATGAAATCATCTTTTGTATTGAGCATTCAGTATTTTGAGTTGCGTTGTGGATGAATTGGGCGATACAAAAAAACCTGCCTTGCCTTTCATCCAGTTTAGTCCATAAACTCATATTCAGTGGTTCAAAACCTTCATAACTGGCTTAAAAGTGAGTCCTTGTTCTTAAATACATTCAAAGTTCTGTTTTTTTGTGTTTGAAAAGTGCCTTGTTGTTGCCTCTCGGTGACATTTGGATAAAAGTAGTGTGACATCGCCGTGACGGTGGCCGTGTCTGACTCTGCTCAGACTCCTGTCCGTCCAACACAAGGATGGACTCTGATGATGCTGTCACTGCCTCTTCCACAGCTGCTGGGAACGTCCCGAAGAGAGACTGGATAATTTTTTAGTCCCATAAATCGAGAGTATTTAAAACGATTTTACTTGATGGGGTTATTTTGATAATAATGATAAAATGATATATTATTATATAGTTATTGTTATACCAAATATACAATATGTCATGGGGCGACAGTAGCTCAGTTGGTAGAGCATTGGCCTTTGGGCCGGAAAGTCCAACACCTGCCCCCCCCCCCCCCCCCCCCCCCCCCGCTCTCTGAATGGTCGGTCGAAATTCAACCGATTGTATTCGCTAACCCAGGGACCAGACCCAGATGTTACATGCAGTGAAATGATGATTGAACGGAGTGTACGGATGGCTAAGGCCAGGCTACAGTAAAGACAATTTCTTACGACTTTATTATCGATTCCTGGATGCTCATGCTGGATTTCTGTGAGAACCTGGTTTCCTTACCAATACTCATGACGCTGATACATCACTCCAGAATGGGGATATTCATACCTGCAGATTGACATACTGTACCTGCAGACTGGGGAATATTAGATTGAAGAATATGACACTTTGGGAAGGTAGTGGTTCCCAAAGTGGGGGGAAATTGCAGGGAGACAAATGAGTTAACGAAAATACAGTAAAATTAAAATAAAAAATACAGAAGGTTAAAGGACACTGCTGGCATAATATGGAAACATTTTTGACACATTACAATCTGGAGTTAGGGCTGAGGTTTATATGAATTACAATGTGTGAAATAAACTGAATGGACTAACCCTAACCCTGGGAGCCCCGGCAGAAAAAGTTTATCACTGACATAAGAATACAAATATTATTATAAACTTTATTTCTACAGCACTTTTCAAAAACAAGTTACAAAGTGATTCACATACAGTCAATTCAATGTGTAACTTTGATCTTGGCCAGATATTTTATTTTTTCATTTCAATGGGATTTCCCTGGTTAAAAAAGGTCAATAATAAATAAATACTTATGTTAGCGTTTTGAGAGACTGGCCAAAGAGAGAAAGGTCAATAATTGGTGACTAGTGTTTATCTCTGTTTTCAAACACGAGGAGAACATTTTCTATTTTCTTTTGAAAGTGGATCTATGTTGAAATTTAGATAATTTGCAGATGTACGTGACTGATCCATCATTTCTTCTGCGCTGCTGTCGTGCAGGTCTCATGATGTCTGTGTAATTAAAATCATGTGTGTGTTTTTTGTACTATTGCATTTCCCACTCAAATCAAAGTCTTCCTTCACATCAGTGGGAGTGAGGAACATTGAACTAGAATTTATTTCAATGAATCCTCGCAATGGTTTGTTGTTAGTTGATATTTATGTTGTTGTTGCCAAGTCCCGTCCTGCATTAACAAAATAACCACCTGCAATTATCCCTAATCATTTTGTTCCTATAATTGTGTCATTACTCGAGATTACACAACCAATAATGATATTTAATACAATCCCATTTGTCTAATATAATTTATGTTTTTATAAATTCATTGGTTTAGTATTTCCTCCCACTTCCTCTCTCTGGTAAAATGTCATACACAAAAAATCCTCCTTTTGCAAGCGTTCAAAGGTTTTCTTGTTTTCCGTCTTTTTTATATCAATGTTTGTCATGTTCCGTCTGCACTCTGTATTTTCTTGTAATATTTAGATAAAACTCACACAGATTGGCTTTTAACGCTTTTAACACTCATTAGCAATTCTTTATTTTCCAATGCTTTGTTATGGCTTTGAATGCTTTTTAGCTGTTTTATTGTTTGATGGCATTAATGTTTTCATGTATTTTATGTGGTTTAATTGTTAAGCACCTTGGTTGCCTCAAATCATCTAGAACAATTTTTAGATTTTGTTTGTATTATATGAACAGTACTCTACACTTGCACAAACAGGATCAGATCTTTCCTTAGTCCCTATGAGCAGATCCATAACCAGGTCACATTTCTCCGTCTGTCCCTCAGAGTAATGTCCTTTATTGAGAAGAGTGTGGCGAGACTGGACAACCTGGAACGGCTGGAGGCTCTGGCTATTGAACTGGGGAAAAGCCATTATCAGTACAACGCACCACCTAAATATTACAATGTAAGTGTCCCATCCAGCTTTTCCATCCACTCCGGATATTGATACCTGGGCTTTTAGTAACTGTCAATGCCCAATATTAACCTATATTTGCTTTACGAAAAATAAAAAACCCCACTGCAAATTAAAGTCGCAAGCGGCGATGAAAGTCTTACCCGTCATGCGGTGTGATGAATTTGCAGCCTGATTGGACCAGGGTTACACACAAAAAGCTAATTTAAAGGATTCAGTGCACCCCTCGTGGTAATGTCATATTTTTCTCGTACAGATGTAAAGATTTGACCCTGAGACTTTGGTACAAATTGAACATGTTTAGCTTCGAAGCCTCCCATAGGTTCATAGAGAGTGTGTATTTTCACACTATTACATACAGGCCATAATGAAGTATTAGTGATGTGAGTTTCAGTTCTGCAGCTCTAAGCCTGTGGCCATGAGAGCAGTAAAAAAAACTCGCTTGAAATCACAAGCAAGATGACTCTTAAATTCTGGCAAAAATTGTATAACTTCAATCCGTCCTGATGGAGAAATGACATGATACAGGTCTGTGTATTTAAAACCTGGGACTAGACCAAATTAAAAAATATAAAACTTTGATGTGCCTGTAGGTGGCGCTGTTGCACTCACACTTGTGTGTGTTGCATATGGTTGTATTCAAGGTCATACGCTCTATTTGTGATTTCATTTTTAGTTTCATCAGACAAACATTGTGCTCAAAAAGCTCATTCAAAAAATTTAGGGCGCCCCAAGTGGTCAGGTGTGGGACTTACACCTTTTGCGTAATGTTTTGCTCGTCTCGGTTCAGAAATTTTCGGGCCGATCAAAGCACTAATGCTACTCTCCTATGGGTGGCGCTATGGAGTTCATAGATGATTTTAGGCCATAACCTAATATTAGTGTCATGTGACTCTCAGCTCTGGTCTCAGCCTGTGGCCCTGAGGGCTCAGCCAAAACACCCAAAACAAAAGATCTTTTTTGGCATGCATGGTGAAGCACAAAAACTGTGTTAAATTTCTAACTTGTTATTGATCATTGATTGTATAACTATAATTGACTCCAATAGGTCTAAATTGGGAAATGACATGGCAAAAGTCTGTGTGATGAAAAAACAAAATCACGGCCGACTTCCTGTTGGTCTCAGAGGCTCCAGAGAGTTTTAAACTCGTCTCATTGAGATCTATCACTGATTGGAATATTGTGTACCTCCTCTAAAATATGCATCTCTGGCTCTCGTTGGCTTTGCAAATGTGAAATTTCCAGGGGGTGATATAGAGTCAAAGGGCGTTGGACGGTCTTGAGACATTGATTTTTTAAACATTTTGGCTGAACTATTTGCATCAGACATGGGGGATGTGCCAACAATCGTGCATCTCTTCAGGGTCAAAAAAAGTCCTTTTTGTCTGAAGAAAAAAAAAACAACCACAGCCCTCCCCAATACTTTGTACTGGCTCACGCAAATAATTTAAAACCGGCCAATAACTAGAGCCCTCTCCATTGCGAAGTATTTACCTCCATGTTTTCAAGCAAAGCACTTCTTTAATTGTTTCTCCTCAGCATCTGGCTGAGAGAATCTAAAAGACAGAAATACTTTCTATTGGCTCAGGCTAATAATATTAAACCAGCGAATAACAATAGCCCTCTCCAATAGATAGTAGTTAAATTTAGGGCTAAATATACACTGTACATAATTTACAATATTACAATAATCGTATTATTTTGGAAACACTGTTTAGTTTTATAGGAACGTATAAATAATAAAATAGAGCAAACAACTAAAGTTCAACATTCTACAGTAACAGCACGACACCTCTGAGGGCGCTTGATTTGGTGATCAGTAAAAGTGCAGATCCAAAACAATTAGTTTGAATGAGTTATAATTTGATTGAGACGCCTTCTTTAAACATTTGAATGTTTTGTTCAAACTCATTTTGGTCAGGGGCTGAAAGTATGAAAGGGTTCTTTTTTATTCACAAATATTTTGAAAAAAGCTTTGATTTGAGATGGGTTTGAATTATCCTTTCTGACGGATCATTTAGAAAAAATATTACAATTTGAAATCAACCAAAACTGGAGCAAAAATGAAGAGGAGATGTAATTGAAGACTTATAGGCCAATGGTTTATTTTTGTATATTTAACTATTTCAATTATGTGTTTGTCTCAAATGTTCTTGAGATAATTAGCTTTAAAATGAGGTATAACGGTGTATCAGCCGCAGCCTCCCATCTTTGACGCCCGAGCTCGAGGCCGGGCTGGTCGTATCACAGCCGACCCCTCTCACCCTGCACATGGACTGTTCCAACCTCTTCCCTCGGGCAGGAGGCTACAGTCCATTCAGAACCTCCCGCCACAAGAACAGTTTGTTTCACTTGTATATTGAATATAGTAATTTTAACTGTAATGGTTTATCTTTTTAAATCTATATACCTTTGAAGTGTATGCTGATTTTTATTATGCCTTACTCTATTCTTTACCTCTCTTCTTTGACTGTTGCACTGAGCCAAAGCAATTTCCTAGTCTGTGACTTCCTGTTACCTACATGGCAATACAAATTATTCTGATAACATGCCATAGTTGCACTTCTCCAAGCTGTGAGTATATAATAATAATAATAGGAAATTATTTCTGGGGCCACAAAAAATTGTGGTCTGAGTTTGGGGTATCTAGTATGGCCAATATTAAACAACTATAGCCAAAGCACTTTCCTAGTCCTTTTCTAATTATTCTGATTCTATATCATAACATTCTCCCAGTAGAAAGATGTCTATCACTGTATAATGGCAAAAGCAGACAGAAGCCCTTCCAGATCAGGTTTAGAGAGATGACTGCTTAGTGATGCACTAAATGAGGCATCATCTACCCATAACTTTTATTTTTGTCATTTGTTGTCCAGTATGTAGGAGCAGAATTCATCTGTGCAGTGCAGCCGATTTTAAAGGACAGGTGGACATCAGAGTTGGAGGAAGCCTGGAAGGTATATAAAGTCTCAACATGAGCATTTTTCATGCAATATGTAAACGCCTTTGACAGACGTGAGTCACAAAGCGTTTTACAAATGTTTTGTTTTTGAAATTGTCTCACTTTAAACATTGAAGTGGGGTAGTCATACAGGAGCATGCCAGACCTATTGTACATATTTTTTGTGGAAAGGGAAACCAAAGCACCTGTAAAAAACCTACGCAGACACAAGGACACTCCACACAGAAAGGTCTGATGGTGGAATTGAACCTAAGACCTTCTTGCTGTAAGACATGAGCGCTGACCACTGCGCTAAAATACATCTCATAAAATGGCTCCATAATACATTTTATAATACCATTAGGTATACATTACTTTTCACAATAGGTACAAAATGATTCTTAATCTGGATGTACTGGCTGGAAATGTGTGACGAAAACGCATTAAAAAAACATGATGTTATGGTCAATCTTAAGCGAGGCAAGTATGAAGGCTGACTTTGTTTCTTTTGTGATCCAGACCATGTTCCAATTTGTGGCCGGCCTCATGAAACAAGGATATCAGGAGGAAAGCATCAGGCAGCGTCAGCTCTCGCTCTCTCCAAAAAACCGGCCCGAAAAGAGAAGTACAGCCCTATGAGACGCCCCCTTCGCTTTCACTGTACAGAAATGTGAACTAGTTTTCTACATTTAGTGTTTATTTCACCTTTTTCTTCTAGAACGGACACAAGAATTTGACACAGCACTTTTATTCATGAACATAAATCTATTTCCTTTACATGTAAAATCAAACTCTGCTGCCTTGTGAACAATGTACATTTTATTTACAATAGTGTATTGTCTGTACTCAAAAACATGCCTTTTTGTACTCTAAAATATGACAATTTGATAACGGCCTTCATAGTGGAACCGAACGAGCCCCTGGGAGAGATTGCATTACCGTTTTACAGTTCGTATTTAACAGATGTTCTATGTGGTGGATCAATGACAAAAATAAAGTAGTACAGTAATCATTTGTGTGGTCTATTTTTATACACCATTGATTCATTAGGAAAAATGATTTGCAAAACAAGTCATCTGTAAGTTTACATAAATAGGGGACTAACTATTAAATACCACAAAAAAGGCATTTCATCCTCTGGAATCTTTTTATAAGTTGACGTGGTTGTTGGTCAGTTTTGAATAAAAAAAAACTGAAAAAGCCCTCAAAAACTGGTCAAAAAATAATAAAACCCAACAATGGCACCGTAGAGTTCATGACACGCGAATTCTGCAGCCACTGGGAGTAAAGTGTACATCCTGAACAGTGGAGCATCCCCTCAGACAGGACGTGAATACCAGGGCCCCCCGTACGCTACCAAGAGTAGTCATTGTGTGGCTTTTGTTTTCTTGCTTTTGCTTTTCTTATCTTTCTTCTTAAGTCCGTCCATGTGAGCTCTAAGCAGGTTAGAATACGCCTGTAAGGAGACAGTGATTACTAAGACAAATGCCAAATAAAATAGACAAGGCTTTGAGAAAGACAGAAGACAGATCTAGACTTGAGATTCAGACTCACCATTTGAAACTTGATTACTTCTTTGGTGTTGATCTGAAAGAATACACCACAATCCGTTTCATATATTGCATACGTTTTAGTTTGTGTTTGCAATAGGGTTAAACTGAAAAACTCACCACTGTGCTAATTTTCTTCTTTCCATCCGACGCTCGGATGAGGCATTTGTTGTCTGCAGGCTCAAATGTTTCTGGATGCCCTTTTCTAGGAACCGGTTTTGTCCGACCATCATCTGGAAACATATTGTTGCTTTATAATTTGGCTGGACGGTGGACAACATAGAATATATATTTTTGTCTAGGTATTAAGGTATAGTATTTTCATGTTTACATTTCAATTCTTAACAAATAACATATCTCCAAAGTCTGAACTCTGATCACATGATTTTACTGACAGGATTAGTAATGGACCTCTTCTGAATATAATCAAATCACTCTCCCCCAAAACCTTACTCATTTACTTTCTCTTAAGATACCTCAAGTATTAGTATTTTGTGACACTGTATAAAAGGTCTTTGTTTCAGCTGGAGACAAGAACATAATCTTCACCAACAGCAATTTGTAATATCGTCAGTACACATTGTCTAAAAATGGAAGAGAACGATAAGATCTCTATTAATTCTATGAATTATCAGCTAAAGCAATGAAGCTGTAAAATCGTACTTACATTTCTTTAGCGTGATGACAACACTACCAGACGATCTACATTTCTGGAACAGGCGTGTGAGTTCTGTAAGAAACTGTGGTAAACAGTGGCATTAGTACTGCTGTCCACCCTGCCAGAACAACAGCATTTCATTGAAGAAAATGGTTTTCATACCACCATATGTGGAAACAGTTCAAGGATGAGGCAATAACCAGAGCTGATGAAGATCTTTAAACAATTCTAATACTCGCCACATTTCCAAAGCAAACTATCTATAAATAGTAATATCTAATTACGTAGTGATTCATCTGCAGTAACAAGTAGCTAATCATCCCAGAAATGATTTGGACATTCGTATGCTAGCATGCTAGTAACTAGCCTCTGAAGAAATGTGCTTAAATATAAAGACATGGATTGTGAAAAGTGATTTTAGGATAAAGAACGAATAGAAGACGGTGTGTGAGGGCTTACCGAGTCATTCTCCAGCAGCACCATGTTTACAGCTGATACAAGAGGTAAGTTAGCTCAGAAGCTAAGCTAACAGCTAACTCATGAGCATCAGAAGCACACGTACTACAAGCAGAGCTCCGCCCAGAGACACGGCCACAGCGCCCCCTACTGCCCAGGGAGAGACACCGCGGACTGACGTCTTCAGCCAGAAGGCAGTTGATATAAAGAAGTTATATATTAGCTATACATCTGCATCATGAATGCAGCAACGTCTGAATCGTTTGGCTCATTTACTGAGGTGAGGTCTCGGCTCACTGGGTCGTGGGTACTGTAAAAGTACTGTGAGCACCCCTGGCATGGACTAATAGACACAATAATAACTCTGAGGCAATAATTATTTCTGAGGCATAGCGTGGGTATTTATTAAACGTTTGTGAAAAGATAATCAACATGCAAAAAGCAAAAGGTATTTCCATGTTATGTGACCAGTGCGCAGTCAGGATGGTGGCCGAGATCATCCAAGTACACCGCAAACTGGGAGGTCCAGTCTCTGTCAAAAACGGCTTTGAGCTGGCTCTGGAGGGTCCTGTTCCAGATCGGGTGAGGAGCATGCTGGGAAATCACCAGACTTACTCCACCTGTGGACGTGAAGTAGTCCCCAGACCAGTTTGAGGTACCTGCAGGCAAACAAGCATGTCCCATTAATAATTTACCAAATGGAAGTTGACAAGTGGAGTGTGTTCTGTTTTTATTTATATGGACAAACTTACTAATGTAGGCTACTTTATCAGTCACCATGTATTTATTGTGGTTAACTCTGCTGAATGGTATGTCAGTCTGGTTTCCAACAGGCACAATGAAAAGTTTCTGTAAAATAAATTGATAAAATAAAAAAGTAATACAATTATTGAAACAAAAAAAACATGCATCATGCTTAAAACTGGGGTACCAAACTTTTCTGTTTTATATATAACATGTTGCCACCACAGCATGATTTTTCGTTTTGCATTTAAAAAAAATTCCTTTGAGTCACTAACACTTTGGGCAGAGAGCTGATCGAGTGAGGGGAGGGTGGTCCTCTTTCATTTTGTCTGAGAAAAGGCTGATCTAAAGTGAGGCCAATATTACCCACATGTGAAAAGCAAACAGAATCGAGACAGAGGAAGACTTTTGCAACAGGAATTTTTGAAGGGTTAAATTTAGGTACCCCAGAATTAATAACTTTTATTATTACAATTTTAATGTTGATGTGTAAAGAAGGAGTGTCCAGGGCAGCTAGAGACTGAAGAAAAGGCAGCATTTGTGGATCAGAGTTTCTCCCACAACTAATCAGCATCCGGATCTTTAAACTTCTGTCCAAAGCTGCTGTTTTAATGGCATCATCCAGGACTGGCCAGAATCTGTTAAATCAAAAACTTTACAATGAAAGGCAAAACCTGACGCTGCAAAAATGCCTGATGTGAGGCTTACTTTTGAGGACTATCAAACCGGATTGTTGGGAAGTACTCCATGACAGCCACATCAATATAATGTTCAGCCTCAGAGATACTGCTCAAAATAGCATCCAAGTCCAGAGTCCTGGACACGGGGCAGAAAAGAGGCGGCGTACCCTTTCCAAAAAAAAAACAGAACAGAAACTTGAAAACTTCGTTCAATTCTAAGAAAACAGGACAGAAACTTAAGGAACTTACTGTTATGTATATCTGACTGGAAATATTGCGTGCATTCAACAGTAGAGGGCGCTCTTTGTTAATGTTTGTGTCATACTTTGAAGGCCAAGGATCAGGCAGTGTGCTGTTTGGAAGTCCCATCTCCCAATAAGAGTTGAAAATCTTCTCCAGGTCTGTGGCTAAAGTTGAGCAATTGTAGATAACCACTCCTAGTTCTTTTACCTAAAATACACTTTATTAGAAATCTATATAAATAAAATATGCACATTGATTGACATGTCACTCTTACTTGTGTGAGAGCTCTCCAGTCCATGTTGGCACTCCCAATGAATACATGTTTTCTGTCCACAATCCAGAACTTACTGTGAAGGACGCCATGTGTGAAATGTCTAAAGTCCACCTCTCTTACCTGGACTCCTGCTTGTAGAAAGATGAATGAATCACAGGAGAAATATGGCCATTATGAATTAACGATATAAGTAAGTAAGTAAGTAATATATTACTGATATAGGAGGATTTCCCCAATTTTTAAGAAAGAATCGCCCTCTCCAACTCTTAAAAAATGTCTCCAGTCTTGTTTGACGAGGACGTGTCACCAGGATGATTGACAATTTGGAGAGCAATAGTGTTGGTGATCCACCCGGAAGTAGAAAATCCTCATATATACCTTAGAAGCAGGACATACAGACCTTTTTCCTGCAGGTTCTTCAAGTCGGTGGAGTTTGTCTGCACAGTTTGCTTGCTTATCAACGCTCTGACAGAAACATTTCTTGCAGGCAAAGCTTCGAGTTCTGTCAGAATGAAAGTCCCCTGCCAAAAGCAATTCATGATCAACATTATAATAACACAATAGTTTGTTGTTTTGTCGTGTTTTTATGTGATGAAAACTTACAGGAAAAGCAGAAGAGGAGTTCACGCCGATGTCGCCGCCGGTCAAAGTCCAGTAGAAGGACACCACATCCAGCTGTTCGGTCGCCATGGCGAGGAGACCTTTCCATACTTCTGTCAATGGGACCCCAAATGTGGCACTGTGGTTATAGACCATGTACATAGGGATGCTCTCCACTAGTTCCATGCTGGGAAGATTAAAGGAGACATGTTATGAAACCGACTCCCAGGTTGCAACATTGTTTGTCATCAGAGACACACATGGAGTTGATTTTAGTAACTTCAGGCACAAACACATCCCGCTGTTTCTTCTGTCTAAATGCTCCTATCTCAAATGTTGTATGCTATGGTGAAACCTCACACGGTTACGGCACATTTAGAGCAGTTTTATGCCGTTAAATCAAAAGTTCCATTCAATTCCATTAGTTTTTTTGTATAGCCCTAAATCACAACCGAAGTTATCGCAGAGGACTTTAGAAAAACCGTAAATTCGCCAACACAGATCAGAGAAACAAAACATGAGAAATGCAGTGATACACACATAGTCTATGGTTCATAAGGGGCCAGATGACCAAAGTCCATAAATATCAATGAAAGTCAAGTGTAGTAAAGGTTTTGCATCCCAATTAGTTGTCAACTCCAGAAAGATTTAGCTTTTTGCAAATGTGTGACAGTAGGCCATAGGCAAAATAAAATAAATGAAAATAAATGAAATTCTCGGGTGGCAAAGATAGCAGATTTTGGTTATCTCAGCATTTCATCTCCCATACATTTCATACTTGAACAATTATTTCAAGTAGAAAAACATGAAATGCCAAAGTGAATGGTCTTGTGATCAAGTTTCACGGCCAAGCTATTCATTCTCTCTAATGTGACAAAAAGATGCAGAAGTTTTGAAAAATAAATTCAAATGAAGAGGAAGTTGTCACTGAAGGCAAATATTCTAGTGCTGTTTTTGCTCAATAACCCATTGTGTTTTGTTTCCTGTTATTACCTGCAAATGTCGCTGGAGGAGTCAAGTGGAAGGACCTTTTCTCCATTTTCAGAAGAGCACGGTCTCTCCAAAACAGCAACAGCGAGGAGGATGCCCAGAGCAGTAAGACAGGCCAGGACTACAGCCAGCACCACACAGCTGGTCGGCTTCTACAGTAAACACGTCCATACTGTATTATTATTATTATGATTATATATACCCAATTTATCCAGGTAAGCCCCCCATGGATTTTGAAATCTTTCAAGGCAGTCCTGAGAGAGGACCAGGGAGGGAATTTAACGTATAATAGTATCATTGATATTAATAGTTATACGGCTTTTGTATCAACACACCTTTTTAGAGTAGTCCTCATCACGGAGACGTCCATAAGGTGTGGCTGGCATTTTTATTCTCATCTACAGAACAAAACCATATCCTTTACACATATTGTATTACACTGCATACAGTCCAAATGAATAAAGTAAAATAACTTACATAGAGATGAGTTTGGTTTGGAACACTGGTGAAGCTCTGAACCTTCTGCTCAGTGCTCGATTTGAAAGTGAGTTAAATATACCAGTCTGGACTCAAGTTCCTGTTTTTGCTTTCATTTCAGCTTTAGAATAATTAACTGTTGTTATTGCAATAATCTGACTGAGGATTTATACATAATGGAGGATATATTTTATTTGAAAGAGAAATATTTACAGACAATTAAATACAAATACTGGTTCTCAATTTCTATACAAAAGAAACAGAGCCATGTATTTTGACACTTAGAAGAAAAGCAGCGGCTGAAACAATCCCATTGAAGATAAATAGCAGCAAATTATTCTAATAAGTAAAAACGACTTGACATTCAGTGTTTTGTCTGTAAACAAACTAGTTGGCTGGTGACGAAGAACTCTTCCATTAACGTAGCTTTGGAGCACTTCCAGAAACTTCCCATTTCTCTGATAATTACATTCAGAAGTGGAACTACTTTTTGCTGGCCACAAAGTGATGACGAGGTGGTCATACGGAACACAAATAGTGCAAAATAAAAGAGGTAATTCATTGGACAGACATTGAAAACAGTACTCAAACATGTCGAAAAACGAAAACAAACAAACTTATTACAGAAGGTACTTGAGAGATTCGTACCATGGAATTCTCATAACTGGAGTATCATCAAGAATGGCCGTGTACAAAAACTGACCAGTCAGTCACAACGTTTTGATTGTCATGGGCAAAATAAAACAAAAACAATCTAAAGTTCAAAATAAAGTGATATAAATATAAATAATAAGTCTCTACAAAGTGATTTGAGTAAGTCAGTTCGCACGTTCAACAGATGACTTTGTTTAGGAAATAAAGGCGTGGTCTGGCACTACAGTCTTCCCAATGGTTTAAATAGCTCAATAAATCATCTTTCATTCAGCTAATCAACAGTACATTTCTCTGGGTGGATCTTTAAAATACAGCAATATGATTCAGCGGCATTAAAGACTTGCAGGAGTCAATAATATAAAAAGTGTCCTGGCCCTTACATGACGCTCTCCCGTTCATGGGGCCACTGGTCTACAGAGCACAGAGTCGTTCTTCAAGTAACCGTTTAAAACAAAGCTCGCGTCTCACGTTGTGTCTGCTAAAAAAGCACCATTGTTTATTGTGTGTTTCTAGTGTATATGGTTCAGACCAAGTGTCCCTCTCTGCTGTCCGAGACCATGGCTGTCCCTCTGACCCGGTCCCCTGGTCGTGGCCCCCCCCCTCTCCGGGACACAGAGGGAGAGGTCCTCCAGTCTTGTGACGACACGACTCTAGACGGACGAACCCCAGAAGACGACGACGTGCTGGATGTTTTGCCCTGATCACTGGGCTTCACAACTGTATTCATGACTGAGGATAAAGAGGATTCATAATTTAATAATTAATTAACATGAGCAAATAACATTTGTTTCATGGAGACAAGAGTTGGTTCTAACCTTCCAACTGCAGCTGAACTCTTCTGAGCTCCAACAAAATGGATGCGATTTCCTGAAAACAATAATTTAATGTTTAAAAAAAAGTGATATTGAGGAGCACAGGGACTGATCTCCTGCTGGTGCCAGAGTCATGACTAAACGTGGGGAGGAGGCATTTCGGCTTTTTTGAAGCTAAAATCTGGAGCAGTTCCTGAAAATGTGGCACAGGCTTCTTCTCGGACCATGTTTAACTGTGCACACAACTGAAGGAATCCACCTTATCTAAATGCATGTTGAGAGATATAGGATTTTACCTGGATGATTGTAAAGCTCCACCTCTTGTTTTGCACTGTTACCCCTTGCATGAACTGTGCTATACAAATAATCATGCCTTGCCTTTTTGACTATAAGAATACTGTGATATCCACCAAAACTAACCTTATTTTGGGTTTTGACAACTGTCATATCATCGTCGGCAAAAATCTTCGTTTCAATTTCCTCCCACATTTCCATCTTGTCTTGAAACAGGAACCTGCCAAAACAACAAACAGTCAATAGTTCAACACTAGGCAAAAATGTGACATCACTATGGTAGAGCTCACTTTATTTTTTCTCCAAGTTCTTCTGTGTTTTCTCTGATGGAGCAAATGACCTGAGATACGGGGTCCAGCTGGTTGTTCGTGTGTGCCTAAAAAAGGTGGAAACAAACACGTTCTTGTAAATGTCTAGTAACGGGTCTTCACGGCACCTCATGTCCACACCTCCTCGCTCTGATCCTGTTTCCTGATGCTCTGCTGATGGTTTGGTGGGACTGGTTCAGCTGGACCTGCAGGTGCACCTCTTAATGGGTTTGAACTGGTCTCGGGAATATGCCCAATGATCTAAAGAAGAGGAGTCGGTGAGTAAAAAAAAAAACAAATACAGTATAGATTTTATGTTATAAAAATGAGATGGCAGGGTAATTTTAAGCTTATCCAATTTCTTTTTTTTTTTTTTTTACACCAACACATGTGAAAAAAAGGGGATGTAATTAACTATTATTTTGTTACATTGAGGAAATGGGGGATTATCTTTTCTATTTAGTAAGTACTTTATTTATATTTGTTGTTTGATATGGGATTTTTGACAGCAACAAAGTGATGCTCCTGGAAAAATCTTCATAGAGAAGACTTGTTTCAGTAATAACACGTGTTAAAGCCCTAAAGTTAATATATTGCAAGTAAAGTAAGCGATTAGAAGCTGCTACAAATACAACAGAGCTTGAACTGAAAATATTTTGTGTGAAAACGGGGCAGATATCACAAGTTTCTACTCCCCTCTGCTACTTTTCATCTATATCGAGTTGTTAAAATGTAGCTGTATAATTGAAATGTAACAGAAAGATTTCTCAAAGTTACATTCAAGTTAAAGGAGCAGTATGTAAAAATCTGGCCAAAAGTGGTGTTGCAACCTCTCCCACTCCCTGACTCAGGTTGCCAGATATGCAGAAGAATCCAGCTGGGAACATAATATCTGAATAAAAAGTATTGTCAACAACAAATCTAATCACCAGACCCTGACAGAAATCCTCGTTTTATTCCTTGTTTTGTCATTAATGATTTGAGAATATTAACGAGACCTTATATACATGTTACTTTACCAGTGAGATTAGCTCGGCGTGGTGAGTTCTGGCAACCTGGATCACAGACTATCTGATTGGTAAAATGGTGTAGGACGGGACATCGAAATGAAAACAATAACAAGCTAAACTAATTTTGAAATCCAAATATCTCGGCTGAACCATTGTCATCAGTTAAAGAAGTCTTCGAAAAGAACATGGTTTATGAATTCCTTTTGACAGATTTGGGCCATTTAATGATGACTTGACATGAAAATCTTACATATTGCTACTTTCATATAAATCAAAGTCAGTAATGACCTGTTCAGTCGCCCTCACAGCAGAGACTGGGGCGCTGCTCTCTGCTCCAGGATTCAGCGAGTCCCCATCCCCGGCTACATCGTGGATCTCCCGAGCCAGAGTAGCCAGGTCTTTGGCCAGGTCCTGACTCAACCTGTCGCAACAGATTTCACGTACACTTTGTATTGGGAAAGTGCAGACAGAAGTTCAGTATTGATGCTGTTGATGCCCGTACCGTGCAATCTCGGCGCTGTGACTCGACCAGTTGTGATAGGCTTCCCCCTCGTGGTTCTCCTCCTCCGAGTCTCTGTTCCGGGACGCGGGCCTCAGTGCCACCACGGGCTGGGGGCGGGGCTGGCTGCGTGGGCTGTGGGAGGCTGAGGAAGGTTGGGAGCGTTTGGGTTTAGCAGTGACCTGGGTGGAGTCATATTCTTCATCTGAGGTAGAGGTATAGTCTGAGCCCTTCTGTCGCCGCCTCGAGCCTTTTGCATTGTCGAGTGGTGAGAGTTTTGACAAGGAAGAGGGGGGTGAGAAAGGGAAAGGAGAGAAAACAGAACCATGAAAGAATAAAGCCATGGAGAATGAGCCACTGCAGCACAAGCACCGTCTGTGGAAGCCAATATTTGTACGAAATTCGATAATATTTTTACCCCCCCTCTTCACATCAATATATTTACAAATGGAGATTTTAAAGTGATTGCCTTCCACAGTAAAGTTATTTCGGGCTTAAACCACATGAGAATATTACATAATCAGGAAACCCGTTTACACATACTTTAAAGCTTTAAGAACAGAACAGATATTGTAAAATGTTAGTGGTGAATGTTTTGGTGAACAGTTAGTATATCGTTAGTCCTTAACCCCACATTAGCCTTTGGTAAATTATGTCATTAATGTTGGCCCTTATTGCATTAACATAAACAACATTAGCATGAACCACAAATTATACAAGTGTCCAAACTCACTTGCTGTACTGGTGGTGTACTTGGCACTGCTGGCCCGCACTCTGGTGACAGGAGTCTTGTTGAGCGGTGCTTTCTGTGGCCTCTCTGTAGGCTTATTTCCAGAGATGGACCCTCTGCGACTAGAAGTGCTCTCTGTGCCTGTGCTCCGCCCTGTTCCCTGGGGGCCCGAGGAGGCTTCCGTATCACTGGGGGCGTTCATAGAATTGGCGCGTTTCCGTGGCATTGCCAGCATGTCCCATCGGGAGAGTTTCTTAGGTTCCTGTTGTTTTGCAGCCTCCTGGGACGCCTTGTCAGTCTCTGTGCCCTCATTGTCAGACTCCCCGAGACGAGCCCGTCGCAACATGGACGCTCGGGTGGCTCGAGGAGCAGACAGGCTGTTGGCACGACTCAAAGCCTGGGACACTCTGCCCTTGCTCGGCTCCTTCTGTAGGGGGGCGGTGTACTTCCTGCTGACCTGGGTGTGGTTGGACTCCTGGTCTGAGCAGTGCCGGCTGGAGCTCTGGTGATCGTCGCTTAAGTCTATGGATCCTTGATTTCCCACACGGTGCCTCAGAACAGAGGGTTTTCTGAAAGTGTCTGAGTGAAGAGCTCTCCTTGATGACACAGAGGATTGGACATTAGAGTCCTGACTGGTGATACTGGCAGATGACTGCTCCCTGTGGAAAGTGCTGGAAGGCTTTTTACTGGTCTGCCCAGGTTTGGTCTTGTTACTCTGTTGGCTCACAGAGCTGGATGTGTCCACATCAGACTCTGCAGATGCAGAGTCTGCTACAGGAGAAGGTGTTGCGGTCTGGAGTTTGGCCTCCAGTGCAGCCAGAACATCCTCAGTCTGTTTGAGATAAGAGTGAGTGTCATGAGAGGCAGACTCTGGACTGGAGATGTGTGGCAGCTGCACACTACTGGGCCGCTCCGTAGTGAAGCTCTCCTGTCTCATCACAGCCACTCCTGGGCCCTCTGTCATCTCTCCTGGGACACTGTTTCCCAAGAGAGGCGCCGAAATGCTAGTACGAACCTTCCCAGATTCTTTACCTAGTCTTTGCTTTGTCAGTGTGGCTGTTGAGAAGGCTTTATTGCTGAGTTTCTTCTCTATGTTTCCTTGTAGTGTTACATTCTCCTCTGAGCCGATGTAAAAAGATGTTGACTTGGATTGAATTGTTGGTAACAATTCATCTGTATGCTGTAGAGGTTTCCTCCTCTGTTCAACAATCGAACTATCTCCTGAATTACTGGCATCACTTAAGCTGTCAGGCTCAACATCGTCTTGTACAGATAACCTCAGAAGACTGTCCTGAGATCTGGGAGAAACATGGCCACTCTTTTCTATGTCAAATGTGGACTGCATGTCATAATGGACACGAATACTTGGGGCTTGAAGGTCTTCCGTATTTTCAGTTGAAGTCTTGTATATTCTAGAACCACTTGGGCCCACACTTTGGGTTTGTCTCAGCATGGTTTTGTGTCCGATACCTTTAGGGAGCAGTAAACATTAAAATCAACTTATTCAACCTCATTCATTTAACTTGCGTTCAAGTGTATGTTTCTAGAGGCTTACCACCAACAGACGGCTCCATCTGGAAAGTGGGGGGACATTCTGTATAGCTGTCAGCCAAGCTGGCCCAGCAAGACATCCACTTGGGGGACTGGATCTACAGGAGAAAGGGAAAAAAAATCAAATAATTATTTATTATTCATATATAGAGAGTAATTAATAACAATACAAAAAATAATAATACAAAAAATAAATAATTAACCAGTGTTATACATGAGGTTAGTGTGAGAGATGCCAACATATTAGTTGTTATTTCAAGCAACATAACAAATCAGTGGAAATCAACATTATCCTTTCACCCACCACACTTGTTTATCACTTCACTCATGTTAATTATATCCATTGCCTTTTCCCTGATTCAGTTAGTTTACCTTCACCAAACTACAACCCTGCTCTCACCTGCCCAGAGCTACTCTGCCTATGCTGCTCATTGCCTTTAACAATAACAGGTCTATCTGTGGTTGACGCCTCTACTTCATTTTGGTTGGTTTGCACCCCAAAAACCTGCCAGGAACAGAGCAATGAGGGTGAATGAATGAATAACTGAACTAGCAGAGCAAACATGTGAGGATCAGGAAGTGAGTGACATGGAGTCATCCTGAATGATTCAGTACTTACCTGGTCAATCTTGCTGCGGGCTTCCTCTAGCTCTTTGTCCTGAACATCTGCCTCTATGGTGTAAGTGCCTGCATCGCTAAGACTGTCCTCCTCCTCATTTCTGCTGCAGTGAGTTGTCTTCACTTCAGAGTTATCGTGTGCCACGGTGGTCACTGTGCTGTTGAGGGGCACAGGATGGTGGATGGGGGAGGAGGTCTGGGGCTGATTCCCTGGGATGGATGAAGGAGGGCTGTTTTGTATGGGTAACGTGGTTTTAACATTTCGTGGGCTATACATTGTTCCCTCTGCAGAAGCACTCTGTTTTTCTTGTTTAAGAAATTCTGCAGTGAAGTCTCGGGCCAGTTTGGACCTGCGCCCCACACTGCTGAAAGGTCGTGTGGAGACAGAGGATGTGGAGCGAGAGGAGAAGCTGGTGCAGATGCGTTCTTCTGTCCTCTCCCTCCTCAGTGAGCCCGCCCTTTGGGGACCAGGGGACTCACTACCCTTTAAAGGCACTGTGTAGCGCTGAGTTGGAAGAGCACTTTCCCCAGTCGGGCTGGGACTCTTCCTTGACCTCTCAGCCTCTGCTTTAAGTCCAGACGTCGGCTGTGCAGTGGTGTTATTAGTGAAAGACTGAGACCGCTTCTTTCTCTGATTGTCGTCATAAAATTCAACAATAAAGGATTGTTTAGTCTCAGTCTTGGTTTGACCATGAACCAAAGGTGGCTCTGGAGAGACTGGCTCCTCAGATTCAGGAGATGCGTAGCGTTGAGGAGGAGAATGAACCTGATGCTGAGACACATGGGATGCAGGTTGTACATCTGACTGAAGTAAGTCATCCACATTGGCTCCAGGGGTGCCCAAATCACTGTGAGTGCCGTTGTCCCAGTTTGCTGTCAAAGAAAACAACAGTTGGTTCATTAAATCTAGTCAGTTCAAATACCAATGAATTTAAGAGTGACTTACTGCGTAATTTTTGCACAGTGGGATCACTGATGGTGCTGTACAAGTCCTCCGCCTGAGACTTCCTTCTCACCATACTGGCATTGCTCTGGACCAGCCAGTCCGCAACTTTACTTTCTGCTGACATCACCTCAGTCGGAGCAGCAGCGGTTTGCGTGTGGGGAAGCTTCTTCTGCTGCCGGAATGAGAACTTTGTGATGTGGTCCTTGATCTTCATCTTCCCGGGCGTGCAATCGTCAAACTCTATAGTGAATGAGGCATGGCTCTGCACCACTGGAGGGGTGGGGGTGGACGGGAGGCTCTCAGGCAGGTCTGGGATGTCCTTTGTGGGGACTTCATGAATCTCAGGCTCCATCTTCTTGGCTGGATGCTGGAGTTCTTTCGTGGGGATCTCAAAGCAGCTGGGCTCTCGACGGTAAGAGAAAATGGACTTTGCCTGACTGTCAGACAAGGACCCATTGAGCTCATATCTGGAGGATTCTTTGGGTGCATCTGTAGAAATAAAGTTGTAAAATAATCACAGATCAACCCAAATGCATGCACTGCACAAGGTTATCTACTATGTACTAATGTGTCTCAGCTGTATTCCTAATTTACTTTGCCACCAAATGTTTACATAGATTACTTGAAGCTGGGGTCAAACCACAACAAATGGAACTATATAGTCCATATAACAATTTCCATCCCTAGCTTTTACATGCAGGTATTGTTTTAACCTCTGCCACTTCACATTTTCCAATTTTTCAGACAGAACCAATCAGTCAAGCTTCAATGTTTTCCAATAAGATGATGGTTCATAATACGTGCACTATTTATGAAGAAAAATGGAAAGCACCCCAGCTTCAAAACCAATTTTCATGATTAACCAAATGAACTTGTTTCAGACATTTAGTACATTTCATACAACAAATAAGTTGTAAACTAAAGACCAAAATTCAACCCATCGTCAGCCATCCCAAATGTGTTCAACCTGCAACTACGTAATCAACACTGCCCTCAAGTCCCGAGAATTCAATTAAATGCAACCAAAACGTGAATTAAGGATCAGAGTCCAAAAGAAGGCAGTTGATCAGGAATAATCTCATTCAGTCTGGCCAACATGAGGCCTGCGGTTACACCCCTTCCCCCTGCAGCTTAAAGGGCGATAATCCATCACAAGGCCGACATGCACTGCCCAATATTCAGGCAAGTGGACTGTGCCCAACTGGCATCCACAGATCTGCCTCCGGATTGTCACCAAGAGCTTCCAGTAACATGGACTATTCGGGTATATGTCAATAGTACACACTAATAAACATTAAGTATGTAATGGCAAATAAAAATAGTCTGTTTACCTGGCGAGTCCTGTTCCCGCTGCTTCCCTCCCCAGGGCGCCTTCTTGCTCGCTGGGTCTTCATCCTCTCCCCACCAGGAAGGCTGACCGTACAGAGGAGTGGGCTTTGATATAGGGGCTTCTGTAGCAGCTAGGAACAAAGCAGACAAAAACAAGCATAAGCACAGGCAAACCACACCAAACAAGTACAGAAAATACATCGTTGGGCAGAGAGTGGACTGAATCCGCTCGGCCAAATGCGTTTAAGAGGCAAAACGTTGTGCAAGTTGCTTGTGCCACTCGTAAGGGGTTGCAGTAAGAGAATATTGAGCAATACAATATTACGTTACAGAAAGCTTCTGTCTGAATGCCAAACGTTTCCATGAGAACTATGAAAAGCAGGAGGAAACCAAAGAGACCATGAGAGCCACCCAAACTTAATCCATCAAGATGAAGCTAATCCTAATCTTTTAAAGAAAAAGACAAAAGGATAATCGCAGATCTTTCCCCAAATTCCACTCTTCAATACTGTACATAATCTAATGCTTTTGCTCCAGACTAAGCATGTGTAATCTGGATGCTAGATTCTAATGCACAGGATAACGAGACAGGACAGCAGCCATAATGCAACCCGATCAAATGGCATTTTTCAGCCCCAGTCACACAACAACACTCTCCTCTACTCACTTTATAACAACTCGACGCAGCAGTGTTTAGCCTACAGCGTTTTACTAACATTGCACAGGTTCAAGTGTCCTTCGGAGCAGACAGCTGTGAGATCGGACACGTTCACATCCTGTGCAGCTTCATGGGAAAGTGAGCAGAGGCGCAGAGCGGGACAGAGAATTCTACTTGTACATTTCCTTGCAAATGTTTAAAACTGTCTGCAAGTTGTATGTAGCATGCACACGCTTCAATATCTTATACGGCCGGCATGAGCAGGGTTATGATGAACTGTGTTTCTTATCAGTTTGTTGTGGCGGTTCTAGTGAGACAGTCTCATATTTATATTTGGAAATCTGCACGCTACCAAACCTCAAGGCTACATCACGTGGCCTCTTCAAAACTGAGCCACATGGAGTTCCAACCCCTTCATTCATAAGAGGAAAAGGGATCAGCAAAAACAAAAAACATGTCATATATAAAAAATTTGCTGAATATAGTATTTTTTTTTTCTTCAAATCTGTGTGCACTAGACAAAAACTATTCACAAAATACAAAAAAAACCAGATGCTTATTGATGATTATGTTCAAACCTCTCTCTCTCATTTGACACAAAACACAGACAAGACACAAGCCCAAACACTCTCTGACCCTGCACCTAACTTCCATCTCTTGCTCTGTGCTGAGGGCATCACTCTCTTTCCTCCCCCTACTTCCTTTTTTCCCTCCACCCACAAGGAAAAGTAATCACAGCAAAGGTATGTTTGTTCGCCTATGAGCAACATTCAAAACGTTGAGAGGATTTTAATTATTTGCATATTTCTTGGTCTTAACAATTATGGTGAGAATCTCTATCATGGAATCGATGTTTAGGTGGCAGTGTGTTTCCAGATGCTTTAAGATAGATTTACAACAGTTCTCTCACAAAAGGGTAGTGTTTTTTTGTATAATTGCTTAGACATTTACTCATCAATGTATGTTTTTGTTTTAACAGTCATGTCATAAGTTAAACTGTCCAGGCGTGGCTTTCGCAGATTAAACAGGATGACTTCAACTTCATTAACCGCTCTGGGAAAGCCTGACTCATGCACTGCCAACACGGACATGTGAAAGCCTATTTACTTGGAGCCACACTTTGCTCACATGTACAATCTAATCGCACACAACAGGGGAGCGCCCTGAGAGGAAGATCCTCTCAGTCCAGGGATTGAGAATGCATTCTAGTGGCTAACAACAACACAGACACAAGACTTCCTCTTCCTGGTGCATAGGTATTCAAATTTATTGGTGGAGAATTTACCAGTGTCAGCCATTGAACAAAATACATTAATCAGATCGTTACCTGTAAATGAGTGGGCCTTTCTCTCAACCCTCTCCTTCACCTTGGACACACAGGCCTTGTTCTTCTCTGGACTAAGAAGTTTTTCCTTTGCCTTGGCCTCCAGAGCTTTGATGCTCAGCTGCAATTGGCTGGTGTACTTTTCATGCTTAAAAAAACAGAACAAAACAAAACAGAAGGAAACAGGATGTGAGGAAACTTGCTTGGATACAAAAATGAAGGATGCGCCTCCCTGAATGTAGTTTTAAAATAGAAACTATGTAATTAACTTACTTTGAGAGCTTCCTCCGGTACCTTGTGTTGACTTTTCTCCAAGATATAGACATGGACATGTGCAGGACAAGTTAAGGAGACACAGACAATGTGCATTTAGGATGAAGAAAACAATAGGTTTCTTGCTGTAAATTTCTCCAGTGTGAGATCAATAACGTTTTTTTTCCACTGGGTTTTTTTATTTGAGTTTTTAATTGCAGATTCAGGAGCGTGGACATGTATCAATATTTTTGGACATTGGTCATCTGCCCCTTATGGACCTATATATATGGCTCTATGTGTTTTTTAAATCATTGCCTGTTGCTTGAACAATTTTATTCTATGATCTGTGTTGGCAAAATCAACGGTTTTGTAAAGTCCTCCGAGATAACTAATGTGATCTAGGGCCATACAAAAATAAATTGAATTGAAGTGAAGTGGATGAGAAGGATGAGCGAGCGCATGCCTTGCTTAGAGGTCACTCACGAGTCAGCTGTTGACCCATTATCTGAAATACTCCAATAATTCTACACAACAAACTGCCACTGTTATCTAAACACGGTTGCAACAGTCACAGATTGCAGGACGAGAGGTCAAAGGGTGCAACAGATTTTCAGTTTGCAGGGGACATAATCTAAAACCCCTGACTCAAAACCACTGGGGATTAACATACCAGAGCTGCAAACGCCACTCACTCGTGGAAAATGGTTTGAACCAAACAAACACTTGACACAAGGAAGTCAACATTTAGAGTTTGTGAGCAAAAAAAAAAAAAAGACAATTATTCCCATTTAAAATCATACCTAAATATCAGTAAAAATGTCTAATTTCAAATGTGCAAATTATTACGATTCTTCTGAAGATTTGATGTATTGTCGTTGTCAGAGACTTTTAGACAACAGCACTGACAGAGCAGAAGTGCATTAGTAGTATTTGTCTTGACTTGAGTATATTTTTGCTGCCTTAAAATAATTAGCCAAAAAAATAGGTTTACTTCAACTATAAAATTCAAAAGAAGCTTTTTGACACTTGAAATGACAATGAAATATTGTTTACGCTTCAATAAGGAAAATGTTATTCTTAAAACACTCAAATGTTAAATGTTACGTTATAATACATGAGAGGGTTGAGTGAATGTGATGTAAATAGACTTAAAAACACCTAAAGAATGATGCAGTTATAATCGTCACCATTATTATTTGTACAGGTTCTTGTGTTATACTGTGAAATCATCTCGCCATACCCCAAGACCACAATGTTAAGTAAAAAGTAAAAACTGGGAGAATGAGCCGACAGAAGGATATCATAACCAAAGCGAATAACATCGGAGAGCTTGAGTGTGATGTAGGTTTGATCCGGGATCCTCAAGTCATTCACAAACGTCTGCAACAGAAAGGAAATTCAAAAGTGTTGACCTGGTCCTGCACATGTTTTCCAGGTGACAGTAAACTCTCAGAGCTGCTGAAAGAGTAAGGTGCTTTTCATTTGGCCTTTTTCCAGTCCAAAGTTAATCCATTAGCACACGATTACAATGTTATGTAACTACGAACCAATTTGTTGCATGCTTAAAAGGTGTGTAAAAAACAAGCCTGCCGGGCACAAGAAATACATATGTCATAGAGAAGCAGTTAGTTCAGTGCATTCTGATCTATAGCCCTATTCGCACGGGATTAGTGTTACCTGTGGACCTCTGGTAATTTGTGATCATCGCGGAGGACGTCTGAGATCTTAGTCCCCTGCGAATGCGCCATGTTTGTAATTTGTAAAGTAATAATTCGGCCGCAAATTACCTCCTGTATTTGTCTAAACACACATGTCCACAGATGATACTAATCCTGTGCAAATCAGTGATTGCTATTGCTGCCTTCTCTACTTTCTGGGGGGGTTTTTGTGTCAATATCTTGCACCTTTTTGTATCTCTTTCCGACTCGAACCATGGAGGCTGCAGTAGAAATGTTGATTCACAGTTTAAGCTTTTTAGCAGCAAATTATAAAACTGCTTGTACACATCGTAAGAGCAGCGAGTGACGAGCGCCTTTTTTCAGGAGAGCCGCGTCTCTCAGGTCTCCTCTAAAGTTTAAATACAAGTGATGTGTGTGTGGAGCTGATCTAATGCCAAGGACCATCAGCACAAACATGTTTCCATGTGTTTTGACTGGGGCCGTGTCATTGCAAGGATCATTTGGGCTGCGTGAAGCGGAGAGACTCGCGCACATGCAGCTGTTTTGTGTTTGTTTGTCACTGAAAATATAGTTATTTACAGACATTGCAGGTCTGTAAAAGACTATACAGGCAATACTAATCCCGTGCGAATAGGTAATTTATCAGAAGTCTTCAGACGTATAGATAACAATTGATTTACGGAAGATTAGGCAAAGATTATTTCAAGAGTGAGAAGTCAGTAAAAATAATCCATTCTTTCCTATGATTGTAGGACACTGGTGCTTATAACAAAGTCGATATTGATGAACAGACTCAATGCCAATGTTGATACGACCGTGATGACATTTAGAAGATCATATCTAGTACAGAATAATAGTAGTTTTTATTGTACCAAAAGGTTTCATAATGGTTCTAGTAAAGCTCAAAATCCATCTAAACCTGCTCAGGGAAGTCTAATTCTACTGCAGGTGGAATATTTTCTGCAATCGAGACTTCCTCAAATGAGCATCCAGTTTCAATACTAGTTTCAGAATAAATCAATATAGGATTTCTGACTTTTTAACAAGATCATGCATATTTTTCATTCCCCAATACCACTTGATACTTCGGCTTTCAATATTTGCCGATACTCGATATGACTACAGTAATCAGAGTTTGACCAAAATCAACAACTAATTTAGAAAATGTTGCATACATCATTTGATTTTAACTTTCAAAATATCCTGAATCAGCACCAATAAACCATCTCATTCCTTCTAATAACTAGTGCACATACAACCCAATGCTAAACAGAAGATTTCTGTAGGGGCACTGAAGATGCAACAAGGGAAGACAAAAAAATAGTGTGAATGTGGTGCTACAAACCCCATTCAAGCTGCCCAGGTCCTTCACCGTGTGCTCGTCAGTCTTTGGGTCGTAGTTGATCACAGCGTGTTGCTTATCCACACTGCGAGACTGGAAAGACAAGATTTATTGACATTTATTAACATTCATGGACATTGGTCAACTCCCTCTATCGACCAATACCTATGTGTTCTATATTTTTTGTGTTTGAACCGTTTGATTCTCTGATCTGTGTTGGCAATTTCAACATTCAACATTTTGTGTTTGGAAATTTTGAGATAACTACTGTTGCGATTTAGGCTATACAGCTATACAAGAATAAAATGAATGGGACAGATGTGGCAGGTTAGACAACTCACTTCAGTAAAACATAGTTAAAAAGATGGACATGTAAGATTTTACTCAAAAACGCTTGAGTTTGTTAAGATTTATAATGTCACAGCTCTGCAGCCACAAACTAAACAAGGGCTAAAGCTCATGCAGTACTTTAAAATAAGCAATTTAAAAAATGTGTATTGATTAATTAATGTTGAAACTGTCAAAATAACAGCTCTAGAAAAAGACAACACTGTGGTTGAGCACGTTGTGCTTATGCCTCACAGCTATAATATGGTGAGTTCAATTCCTGGGCCTCCCTGTATGTAGTTTGCTTGTTTGTCTGGTCTCCGTTGTAAGCATTTCAGTTTCTCTCACTACAGATCAAAATCCCCCAGCAAAGCCCTGACAAACCTGAGCATCAACATCTGGAGATGCGCCTAACAAAGAACTGTATTGACCACTGCTCCTGACAGCATTACAGGATGGGTCAAATGCAGAGTACAAAATGCCCTACACGGACAATAAAGCATCCCTTAAGGTTTACTTGCGCAGTCTTTTTTTTTTAGAATTGACTTGTAGGTGGAAAGTGGAGGGATTACATTTTAAAACAGCCGTACTTCCTGTATATTGTATTAACCTCAGAATTGCTGTAGAAAACTATGATGGGTTCATAGTTTTGTGTCAATTTCTCTCCCGCTTTCTCTCATGCTGGGTTGCGACGGTGTAAGCAGACCTCTGTCGTCTAAGCAGAGTTGCCCAGACTTTCCTATCCATGCACACTTCCGCTCCCCAACCAGTCAAGAGACACACTTCCAGCTTGTCCTGAATCTTCCCGGGGCCTCCTCCTGATGAGAGATGCGTGGGACACCTCTCCAAGGTAGAACCCAGGAGGCATCTGAAACCTCCCATGTGACTGAGTTCTCACCCCATCTCTAAAAGAAGCCACTCAGCAAAATAAACCAATTTCAACCACTTGTATTGCATTATCTTGTACTTTGGGTCATTACACAAGGGCCATACTGTAGAGCACAGGTGTCAAAGTCAAGGCCCGCGGGCCAAATCCGGCCCGCGAATGAATTTTACATGGTTGCCTGCCATTGACGCATTATTACGTCAATTGCGTTTTCCGCTATTTTCATGTTCCCAGATGTCTATTATATATAATATGTTTGGGGATAAGCTTGAGAGCATATTGAATCGAGCCAGCAGGTGGCAGCAGTACTCTCTGAATGGTTTGAAAACAGCTAGATGCACTTGTTGTGCCTCTTTTTCTCAGCTTTTTGGTGATTTCAGTAAAACTTCCCTCTACTCAACTGGGAATTACAAGCTAGAAACAAAATTATTTTTGCTGATGAAAGTAGACAGTCTATTCTTTCAGAATCTGGTTTCGGATTTCAGATAGTCATAGTACACAATATTCTGTGGGTCTTGAAAAATCTATAAAAATCATCAGAAACTGCTGGCAATATGGGAGTACCTGTTCTGAAATAGGCTGGCAGTCAATGAGTTAATAAACATTGAACCAGTCCGGCCCTCGGCTCGCAGCAAATTTGTTTTTTTGGCCCTCTGATGTATTTGACTTTGACATGCCTGCTGTAGAGGGAAAAGAGTGCCCGGTTAATCCAGTGCTCTGCCTTTCCACTCAGCTCCCTCTTCACCACGTCGGAAACTAAGTCATTACAAGGGAAAAATCGAATGCGTCACACACACTTGAACGAAAGACACTCACACTTGCCGTTTGATTATGACCAGACTGTTGACCACTAACAAAGCATGTGATTCACTAGGAGCCAGTCCCACTACCAATTTCCTGCTCATTAGAGACAGTGGGGCCTCTTCATCAGAAAGAATAACACCAACTGAAGCGGACCGTCCACAATCTTTGACCGGTTCAGTCAATCAAAGGAGGATAAAAAGCTCACTGAACTTAAGCATCAAAAAGTAGTAAAGATTCAGAGAAAAATGACCTAGAGACACAAGAAAGCGGCATAACGAGTACTATCCACTGCTCATTTTAACTGTATGCCATATTCTCACAGGCTAAAACTAAATTTAAAAAGTCCATAAACAGTAGATGTGTTCATTTTAGTAACATTTATTTTGTTATAGCCCTAAATCACAACAGGAGTAGTCTTGGAGGACTTTTTGTGGAATCAGTTAGAAGTTAGAACACAGGAAATTCAATAATAACAAACACATAGGAGGTCCTGGTCAATAGGGATCAGGAAGACCAATGTCCATGAACCTAAATAAATGTTGAATGTACAGATGTTTTGATCAAATTTGTTTTTTTTGTATTGAGAGGAACATGTGGAGACAAGACCAAGAGAAGAGTTCCAGACCTCAAAGAAACTCCCAGCAGCATGTGGTAATAAAATATGATCACTAAAACTTTATGCAGTCTACTAATTAGGACGATTTTTTATTGACTAAAACTATAAAACCAAAAATGAGTCTTGGCTGAAGCGGAGCATAATTTTACAGGACTAAAAATACTTCTCACATAACTTTTTTATTGACTTTCTAATTTAAACTGTACAGTGTAGTAGTATTATTATGATTATGGGAGCCAGAGTTGCAAACAGCATCAGAGACGACATACTTGCAGTGTTTCCCACAGGTTTGAAGGCAATGTGTGGTGGTCGTCGGCGGGGGGGGGGGGGGGGCGGGGGGGTCGGCCGGCAAAAATTAACAATGACATCGTTAATTGGTCAAATACAGCTTTATTGGACTGATTCACACGCTGTATATTACACTATAAATACTGTTAACGCTGTATAAACCTACTTGTTGCAAAAAATAACATTATTCACACGCTGTATAAACACTATATTACACTATAAATACTGTTAACGCTGTATAAACCTACTTGTTGCAAAGTTTGCATGTTTTATCAGAGCACCTGATTTTAACTTTATAGCGTCATCGCTTGTTAAGGGAGTCGGGACGGAAATTCAACATTGACACTGAACATTCAGCACTTTTTAATGTGTGATTTACGAGATCACGGGATACCAACCTTTAGTGAACTTCACCAGCCGTCTTCTCTGCACCAAAATTAATAGACACAGCTGCTTACAGCGATGATCGCTGATGGAGACGGAGACACGCGGTGTGCACGAAGGGGAGTGGCTGTGTGTGTGTAGGTCTCTGTATGTGGGAGAGACGCGTAGCTTGAGTGAGAGTTACGAAGGGCCGCCACATTTTAAACCCCCCTCCCCGCTGTCAAATTGACCGCTGCGGCGGCACTAGACGATGCATGTTTTAAATAGCGTAACAAAAAATATATATATATAATAATACGAAACGCAATTTGTGGCGGGCGGTCTCTAATCTGTGGCGGTGCGCCACAGATTAGTCTATGTGTGGGAAACACTGACTTGAATACATCTGAGAGCTCTTTGACAGCCAAATTTGGATTTTTGGAAGCTCTCCCATTCACCCACAGTGGTCTGGAACATTTTTTTCCTGCCCATAACTCTTCGTCTACACATAAACAACAACAGTGTCGAGCAAAGGAATGCAACAGCGATGGAAATTGGAATGCTTTTGACTCTTTGTTTAGAAGAATGTCAGGGCAACAGTGAATGGAGGGACGTCGGACTGGTTATAAACATGGAGCAGGTCTGGCTCTGCTCGGAGTTCACACAATGCAGTGAAGCGGGGAGAGGGCTCTTGTGACACGCTGCTGCTGTTTGCTCTGTAAACGTTAGGAGAGGGTTTCTCACCTGCAGCATCAGCTCGCAGTCATCGCGGCCCACAAAGATCATCTCCCGCGGCAGACGGTGGCGCGTGCCCGAGCTGCTCACCAGGAACCAGGAGGTGACACTCATCTTGGAGCCGCGAGTCAGAGCCTTTTCATCTTTCTGCCAACAGACACATACAGCAGTCAGTGTAAGGCTCAGCAGTCTGGAGAAAAAATACCATCAGAAAATTGTCTATACTTGTGCACACATTAAACCAGGCGTTTTTCAAAAAAGATTTCAAACAACGACACAATGCACATTGTAGTAGCAACACAGGTTTTAATGAGAACATGTCAACAAAATATCCAGATGAGCGCATACAGCTGTTTTACACCCTCCACATGACTTTGAGGGGGTTTTTCTCTCCCAGCGCAGAAAACTGTTTAGAGGTCAGAGAACTTCAGTCATGGCTATGTATTATGGCAACTTCATGCATGGATTTGGATAATACATTTTCTTTTTAACCCACAATCTTACAAAGCATACCTTTGAGTCAAATATCAAAAAAAATAATACATTTTATTAGCGCACCTTACATTTATTATTATAAAGACTGCACATTTGTTCAATATTTTGATATTTGACAGAGCCAACTAAAGCTGGTGTACCCAACTTTCAAACAACAAAAATAAAGTACGTAATAAAGTCCATCTGACTAGTAATCCTTGATCTGAAAACAGTTTGGTTCCAAACTATGTTTTGTCAGGGGCCGAATAAAACAAAATAGAGACAGGTTGGTGGCCAAAAGAATAAAAGGGATTTTATTTTCCTTATAATTGTTTTTTACACCATGAAGGTATTTTTACATTACTTTATTGTGACATGAGTTTCACTATTATTTTTCTGGTTGATTTTTTCTGAAAACAAATTGTTTATTGTTAAGAAACAAAACTGGACCAAATATAAAGTTAAACACATTGTTTTATATTTAACTATTCAACTCAATGATGGGGTGGGTAAACATTTTAGAATAAAATACAATTTCGTTGTTTTCCTGGGAAAATAGATACTGTATGACATTCCTTAATAGCCCAATAATATCGATGCTGCAAGTTAATGATAATATTTGAAAATCAGCTTATGGACCACTAAAATGTGTCCTGTGGCCCGGATACGGTCCATGAGCCTGAGGTTGACATGTCTGCTCTATAGTATTTGCTCTAAGTTAGTAATGCAATCAAAGCACACCTTTAACGAGTGAGTCATCCAGGATAGAATGGATTTTGAATAGACTACTCTGAATACATTCACAACAAGTGATGATCACAATACCAGGATTAGAAGTATAACGTACAAAAGAAACAAATACTGCACATTCAGTGACAGAAGCAAAGGCTCTGACACCTGCTGACCCATTCAGACTATAACCGAGATACTGGTGTCACGCAACATACCACAACATGTAAAGAAAGCAAACATATACAAATATATGAGTTTATTTCTTCACATACACACACACATTCGGGGACACGGTGGCGTTGGTGACAGATTCAGCAACAACTGGAGCCTGTGTCTGTGTAGCAGCGAAACCAGCAGCTTTCATCCTGGGTCCAGCCACGTACCTGAAAAGTCTCCTTCGTTTTTCTCCCGAGTAAAGCCAGGGCTAGAGTCCAACAACGAGCGCTCTTTACGGCGGGCAGCAGACGCACAACAGGTAAGAAATGTACAGGTAAATGAACCAGAGCCTGGTCGCCTTCTTCCTGTAGAGTCGGGCGAAACTCTCCTGCCCACACGGTTACGTACTTACGTACTGACGTACTGCAGAACAAGCTGAGCAGAGAGAGGGGAAAAAACACGAGCTCTCACTCCCTCTGCTTTATCAATGGAATGCTTTAATCCCCCCCTTTCAGATTTACAGTCCCATGCAGGCCCATGGAGTTCACATACAGTGCACATATATATACGGAACTTACATTGCACATTTAACAATGTATAAGAACGTTAAATTAAAGCTGGGGTGTCTAACTTCTCCCGACGCTTCTGTTTGCACAACACATATGACATGTGAACACATCTGCTAAACGTGCAATCTTTTGATTGAAAAAAGTTAATTAAAAAGGTATTAAAAAGATAACAATAATAATAACAATAATAATAATATAATGAAGTCATTCTATCCATCCATATTTTAATATAACACAAAGATTTGTTTTTTAATATATAAATATTGTGAAAACTCATTGGGGTTTTTGAACAAATTGGCTGTAACTTTTCAAAATGCACATGTTTAGTTAATGACAAACTTGAACACATTAATGTCGGAGGGGTTGGTAGTCAGAGCTGCACCCAATTCACAGAGCACTGTATTTACTATTCAAATCCAGGTTTAGCCTGGAAAATTGTTTTTGCAATTATCTAATGTGTAAATATCTATAATTCTAATACTTTGTATGATTGCTTCACTTTACTTTATCTAGCCTTTCCCTGCCATTAAAACTATATAATTTCCCTTGTGAAACAGTGATTCAAGCTTCCCTATAGACAAGTGCAAGATGTTCACTCATTATCCTTCTTGCAACTATTTATATTCTTACATATTTAAAGACATTAAAAAAAGATTATGGGTCGTTTGTAATTTTGGGATAGGGCGTATCCATAACATAAAACACTCATGGGCGTATTTGTAATGTCGTTCCTGACTCCAGAAGATGGCGCTATAGTTCTAATTCATGTGAAACTTGTCTGCATTAAATCCATAACCGGACCAGCCGCCCCATCATTTCTGTCACAGGCAAAAGCAGACTTGTTAAACCCTGTCGGTCTGGCTGGTTATGATTCAGATGTAAAAAAATACTTATTAAAAATGCGTCCTTTCTTTGCTTGGAATGTACCCATGGATGTACCTCTCTATGGCATATACATTGTACATGATATAGATGCGGTGTAATGCGATTTTGTGGACAATTCCAAGCAACACAACATTCACTTTCCATCAAAAAATCAGACCCTCCACCTGGAAAGTTGTGAGATGCACTTTAAAAAATATGTATTGCAATGTCAGTTATTTTTCCCGTATTCTTCACATCCCTGTTATTCAACATTTGGAGGCAGTATTTCAGATTCATGCAGCTAAATTCTGTCTTCCTGAAAATGCCCTGTGGTTATTTATGATTTTATTGCCTTGTGTGATTTTTAATGTTTCATTTCTTGTTAAGTACTTTGAGATTCATGTGCATACCCTATATTCAATGGGAAAAAAACCAAATTAGGTTAATTATCACGAGTCTTAAGCCAGCCAGTGTAATCAGTGCGTGTTGGTTTTGTGCTGTTGCTGAAATCAAAGGTGAGCTTCTATGCAGATGCAGCAGATGCCGCAGAGAGCCGTGGCCCCGTGGCGCAGTCTCCCTGGTCTCTGCTGCTGTCTGGTGGAGAGGCGCACTGGTCTCTGGTCCCCCGGCAGGTCTGTGTGCCGCAGCTGGACGCAGACAGACTGAGCTCTGGCTGTCAACATCTGCTCCAGAGAGCACCATCTGTCCTGGCCTGAGGGATGATCGCTGTCCCCCACCAGCTGTACTCACCCACCTGAACAAGGCTGAAGACACGCCCAGGTCACACAGTTCTCATGTGTGGAACAAGGGTGTAGATGTGTGGAAGAAAACACAGACTCATTGTTAAGACATTTTATTTTAAGAAAAAAAAAACAGTGTACAAAGTTTATATTATTTATTTACTAAAGCTGGTGTCTTCAAACTTTGAAACATGACATGGTAGGTACAAAAAGTTGGAATAAAAACAAGTATAAAATGAATTTCCCTATTATCAGAAGGAGACAGCAAAGAGGGTGTGCATAGGAATGAGTAACAATCGGGTAAATAAAAAAGATTGCAAACAAATGTAAAAACATAAATCTATTACATTCAATAACATGATGCACTTTTTAATTGATTATCTTTCATCTTGAACACTGGGGGTTTTAAAAACCAGAATGATAAAGTCAAATATTAGTTTTAGTTCCCAAGAGCCATAGTATAGCTTTAAAAAAAGGGGAATTATTACATTGTGTACAACATAAAATTACATAATAAAACAAATTTAGTCTTCATCAATAGTGACATGCAAAAAAGTCCAAATACAATCACCATGGGGCAGTAAAGTGCATATCATTGGCACAGAAAACCTCATTTAGTTGATGCTAGTCTCATAAATAACACAGAAGCTCTAAAGGGGACATGAGATCCGTACAAAGCAAATCAAAGATGCATCTTTGTTTCTCAACATGCTGAAAGACAGTTTACAATGTAGTCTTGATGTGTTTAAAGTGACCTCACTGAGGCTGCAGCAAATGCACTGGGTGGAACACCCAATACTCGATGGAAGAACATCCCAGAGGACAGAGAAGGCTCCAAAAGACTATTGAAAAAGGCCGATAATAAGCAGCACTGAGGGAACAAGGCATCGAGATATGTAAGCACCATGGTAAGCACTTGCTAAAGCGATGAAGGAACAGACACAGGGCTTTCAGACACATCATCGCAACTGCAGCTTTCAAGATTCGTCGTCCAGAGTTTGTTGCATGCGGCCATCACTTTTGGACTTCTTACACTAATGTGAGTCTTTTAGCTGCAGGGTCATTTTAAAAGCAATCAAACATCCTCATGTGAAGATGCATTTCAATTTCAGGAGAATCATTATTACCACAGGTAATATGCAAAACCAATTACTTTATTTTTGATATTATACATTCACTTTTAAAGGTCTTGAAGACTCTATGGTACTCGTATAAAAAAGAAAGAAAATTTCTCCCACTCACGCACTTCAAATATATAGTCCACAGTAAGCCTGTTGCGCTGTAGTCCTTCTGCTCTTAGTAACCCATACTTCTGAAATCTTTCATTCGGAAAAAACTAAACAAAAACAAAAATCATCACATTCATTTTATTGTATGGGTACCTGCTCAGGACACAAGCGGGAATGGAAGCGAGAGTAAGATCTCTGTTCTCAGTGTTCAGAACCACAGAGGCCACTCTTATCTTTGTTATGTCTTGCATTTCCTTCTTCCTGTGAAACGCAATATGCAGACATCCAGCAGTGGCATCAGCAGACAATGCTGGAAGAAAACAAGGTGGTCCGACTTCTGAGCGCGTAGAAGAAGAGGGGGTGGGACAAACGGAATGTACAGGAGGTGGTTTAGGCCGTCCCACTGGCGGAGTAGGAGAAATGGAGGAAATGTGGTCTTCGTTCGCTGTCAAAAGATTCCATACAGCCGTCTGAAAATGATAAGGAACATTCATTACAACATGAGATAAATCCAGTAGAATGAGCCGGAGCCACGTGGACAGAATGGCCTGTGTTTTAGAACAGAATATGTACAGAATATAGTCACTCCACACATTTCATTAGAATGGCATGTTTTTTAAATCCAACAAATAGAAAAGCACTTGTAGAGCAGTTACATTCATTCCAAAACAAACAGACAAACACTGGTGATCACTTGATCCTGGGTAGAGGTAATAAAACAGAACTGTTATTGTCTGACTATCAAGACCAGTGTCAGAAGTGTTCACAGTCAGTAAGACCTGGTTGGTCGTTGGGAAGCAGACAGTGATGACACTTTGAGTGACGGGTCAGACACTGCTGTTGGTGATTTAATCATAGCTTCACGGGTGTGAGTGGCATTGTCTTACCAGAAGAGGGCAGACTATTCTCAAGAGCGCTTCACAAGCTTTATGTACCCTTTTTCTCATTAGAATTAAAAGAATAAAATACAGTAGCTAGATACAAGGATTATTTAATTATTGTTAATTACTACCTTGGCCAGGTGGAGTGATTGTGATGGTCTGTGCAGTAAACTCCTCGTCAAAATATCGTGTGTCCGTCTCTGAGGTAACTTGGGGTTTGAATGGTGGGACCAGCTGTTATGAAGACAAATACCACGTCAGGACCATCACTCAGATTGAAAGTTGCCGCTTTAATTGAATAAAATTAATGACAAATACCTTTTTTTCATATACATCTTGCCATTCAATTCCAGCAAAGAATTTATGTTGCATAATTTCTTTAGCATCTTCCGGTCCTCCACCTAACCTGGAATTAAAAACAGAAAAGATTCTCTTCATGTACTAAAAGCTTTAAAACTGTTGTAATTTAGTTGTAGGAGTGTATCAATGCAAACCTCTGCATGGGGTCTTTCTTGAGAAGACCAGAGAGAAGAGAGCGCCCCTCTGGGCCCAGAGTGCGGGGAAAGCGGATGTCCTCCATTAGAATGAGCTCGAACAATTTCTCATGGTCTTGGTTGTAGAAGGGCAGTCTTCCACACATCATCTCGTACATCACTACACCCAGACCCCACCAGTCAACCGCACGGCCATAATCATTGTCTTCCAACACCTGAGCACAATACAAATGATTAGCATTAAAAAAAAGTGTCTGTAACTTGGACTAAACTAGTGGTTACTTCAAAGAACTGCTACTGCCACTTTGTACCGCAGCAGAAAAAAAAGTTTCTAGTTTTGATACAACTAGAATCATAACTAGATATTAATTTGAACATTGGACAACGCCTTCAAATGAGAATAAAACCTTTATTATTCTTTAAAACTTTTAGTAAAAGAGCCACTTTAGATCAGCAGACATGTTCAGGGGCCGAAAACATCCATTGTAAAACTGTTCTGAGGTTTAAAGGCCCACGGGCCATAGTTTGTTCTATCTAACATAGTCCTCTAAGTTTGTGTTAATTGTTACAGCTAATCAAATTACCATGGAATATTGAATGACACAAATTCATTGAAATAAAAGAAAAGAGTTTTAAATGTTATTGTTGTGACACCACAGCTCCTCAGTATCACCTGCTCTTTCCTTGCCTGGTCCCAACTCTGGAGGCAGCATTAGCAAACACTGACTCACAACTCACATTAGGACCATGGATAGGGTTTCTCTTGGAGCCCTGCATATTTAATAATCTCAGAGCCAAACACACAGATCAACAAGCAAAGGTATGGTTGGCTAAAATGGGTTCATGTCACAGTGTGCTTTGTAATCCAGAACTACAGATTATATATACCATACGAAGTCTTGGGATGTTGTGGCTGCTGAACAGAGAACCTGTTGCATGAGTAATGTGCTGCTGAGCAGAGTTGTTCTAGGCTCTCTCGGGACATGTACTGGATTCTACCTCGCCAGGCGGATGTTGAAGGTGAAATCAAGACAAGGAGAACAGCTTGTTCTCTTAAACCTCACACAGAGTCATGCTAGGTGATTCAATGCTAAGAATAAAGACTGTGGTCTAAAAGACAGACATGTGAATTAGTACAATGAGATATGTCCAACAGTTCACTTGGCCACAGGAGAGGGACCAGTGTCCGGAAGAGGAAAAAAAACTTAGTGCACAGGAGTGGGCATGCTGCCTGATGCCGTGGCGAGGCTATAGCATCAAGGAGGACTCAGAGGGCAGGGGGAGTAACGTGAAGCCCATTTGGGGCTAGGATTACTGGGCCGTCTCTATTTCCAGCGCTGCTGTCGTGTGATTCACACCGTGCGACAGCTGGGCCTGCAGCTGCCCCATATAAGTAGAAGAGCAGCACAGCTGTGAAGCTGCCAGGAGCACAGGAGCCAAGCTCATCCCTCATATACGTAACCAGGACTGCCTGCTTGGGCCCCAGTCTCAAACTAATACTGTTACACTGCCCCTAAGGAGCGCAGGAGGAGGAGATTGTGAGACCAGGCCCTTGCTACTGCTCTATGACAAGCATTTGCAAAGCATTTTTGTTGTGAACAAAAACTGTAAAGAGTTTAATTATTTCAGAGTTAAATCACTCTTAAAAATTTGAAATGTGTTCCCCAGCAGCCAGTTTTCCCTGACATTATTGTGAATTTCTCCCATTACTGCACTGGGTTGTTCAGTTTCTGCACCCTCCCTTCTCTGGTCCTGAACTGGGTGGAATATTCCCAGACGTTACAGCATTCCTGTGCAGCACACACAACAAGGTCATTGTTTACTGCAGAACAACCTGTAACACTGCCTGGCCTGCCCTCCATAGAGACGCTTGCAGCGACCCTGTTGCCATGGAAATGCCCCCTGATGTCTCCCTGTTCTGTGCTGTGGAGGCCAGAGCTGTCAGACTGTGCTGCTTTGTGTCGGAGAGCAGAGGCTCTGAACAGGTGGACTGTGGGAATATTAAACATGTGTAATGTGCAGAAGAGGGTCCAGGTGAGAAGACATGTAGTAGACACTTTATTTACAGAACACTTTAAATTGACTGATAAAAGTTTGGGATTTTTCCAACAGGTTTGTGACACTAGCTATTGGTGTGTATGCAGCGCACACACACCATGGTTTCACACCACTCAGCTGTGACTCTAAACAGCTGTAGCAAACATGGATTTCCAGAGCCGGAAGATCACGTTTTATGAAGTGTTGTAAGCAAATCACTCGTCCTCCTTCACTAAACAGAAAAAAAAACAACTGGAGACTAAAAATACTAAACAGCAACTGTGTTAACATCTTCCGGAAAACCTTTTTATGGTGACGGACTAGGGGCTGCAGGACCCTGTACACTTGCACACAAGCCCACAATAGTTATGTTGCTCTCTGACACTAGTCATACCTGCACGCAGCCCCTCCCCCTGTATGGCAAACATGAGAGCGAGCCGCCCGGCCCTGGGCACACAGTCGCCAGTGCCTGACACTTCAGCTGCAGATTAAAACAGCTTCCAGAAACAGCTGCTTTCTCTTCTACACATGTCAGGCTTGTCACACTCAAAAAGTTGTGACAAAATAATTTGTACAATACTTTGAACATTATAATGCCACATCTGTAACTTGACTACAAGCCATGGTTTCAAAATTATTAGAAAGTGTCCTGCCATAGAGATCTACACATACACTAAGATTATAGTGTATATGTTTTTGTTTTGCTTTTTTGCTTAAACGTATTTGATCAGAAATTGACCTCAGGTGCCAGGTATTCTGGTGTCCCGCAGAACGTTTTCATAGTGGCGCCATCTTTGATGCCTTCTTTGCATAATCCAAAATCTGTAATCTTGATGTGTCCATCCTTGTCCAGCATAAGGTTTTCCAGCTGAGAAAAGGCAATACAGGAATATTATACACAACACAATAATAACAATCTCAACATGAAGCAGGAATTGCAAAGACAAAAGTGCTACATGTTTGATAAATACTCTTACTGAGCAGTGTCATGTGGAGGCCTCTCATACCTCCATGTTCGACTCTATGAGCTCACATAAAGTCACCTGGCAGCTGTAGCTCACACGTGGCTAGCACTGGCCAGAGTCAGCACATCCTCAATCCTGCTGCCCTGGCACTTTCTGGAGAACCCTAGCAGCAGGCAGGGAGCCGGCCTCGTAAACCCCGGGGAAGTAAGGTGAGTGGGAGGGGGAGTACAGGGGAGAGAGCTGTGCTGACCTGGCTGCTATCTTTTTAAAAAGCGGGGGTTCCAGGAATACAGATGTGCGAAAGCAAGTAACTAATCTTTATTTATAAACCGGTTTTCACAGACAAAGATGCTTTACAGGTTTTTTTTTGTATTGGTGGTGGAAGTAGATCTATTTATATACAAAGTGGGAAATGACAGTTTGGGGAGAGGACACAGAGCCAAGTTGTCACCTTTAGATCTCGGTAGACCACGTTCCTCTCAGAATGCAGGTAGTCCAACGCTGACACTATTTCTGCCCCATAGAAGCGCGCTCGTTCCTCTGAGAATACCCTGTCCCTTGATAGATGAAAGAAAAGCTGAAAGAGATAGAGCAGATGACTGCATGATATGGTATAATAGAAATAGAAATGTTCACATCACCAAATGTCTTACCTCACCACCATTAGCATACTCCATTACAAAGCACAATCGGTCATGTGTCTGAAAGGAGTATTTCAAGCCCTACAAAACAAGAAGCAGACGTATATTCTCAATAAGGTGATTACAGTGATCCTGGAGAAAAAATCTACATCACTCAAAATTATCACTGTGAAGCTTTTTAATAAAACTATAATTTATGAATAGAAGCTAGGCTTTTCCCAAGTGGGTTTTAAGCAGTGTATAAAAAGAGCTCCTTACTGTCAAGAACGGGTGCTTTGAATTCTGAAGGACTCTGTTCTCAGTGAGTGTATGTGCCACTTCATCCTTGAAAGAGGAGAAAGGAGACAATGAATGCATGCTTGGCCATCAGGTGGAATGTATTTACTCATTAACAACTACTCACTTTTGCTACAATCACTTCCTTTTTCAGAATTTTCATAGCGTAGTATCGTCCTGTGGCCTTCTCCTTTACCAAAATAACTTTGCCAAAAGTGCCTTTTCCCAGAAGTTTGAGGTATTCAAAGTCATGCATAGTCTATCAAGAGAAAGAAAAAACACTAGCAACATTGACAACACGGAAACATTTCATCCCCTGCCATTTCCACTCCTGTAATGGTTTGGCCTATATATGTCAAAGTTAACCCTTGAACCCACTTCTAAACAGAACGTTGGAAATAGTTATGTCGATGACATCCTATCCTGAGACCTTGGATCTTTATGTCATGACACATATGGACTTGTGAAATCTTGAGGACCTTGAGGATCTTCTGTGGGTGCCAAGCCACCCACAGAAGACTAACAAAGGGGCTTCAAAAATCCCGTTCAAACCATCAGAAACGTGAAATTATTGAATCAATGAAATAAACACATTTATGCATTGTAAAAGGAAAAGTCGTACCACTTTTTGTCTGGGTTTGGTCAGGTAGACCTCCAAGTCCATGGGGTCTGGAGAAGAGTCCATCATCTCCTCCTCTTGTTTCTGCAGACTTTCTGCCACTGTCTGGATGGCTTTAGTCCATTCTTCCCTGAGGAAGCACAGGCACCAAAGATTAAAGTCCAGTTTCCTCCATGCACAATCCAAACACTTGATTGTCTGCTTATCAACAAGAGCACAATTTCAGGTTTGAATTCTGTCAATGGCCAGTACAACAAGAGGTACATAATGATTATAATGTGCATGTTGGTTGCGGTGCTAAATGCTAAATGTAATGTATTTGAGTGTCTTCTGAGCTGTGATGGGTGAGGGTCTTTCTTGCCTCTCCTCAGGGGTCTCCACATGGAAGGTGCGCTCGATGACAGTGGTCCACTGCAGGCAGCGGATGATGAATGTGTTATGTTTGGGTCGTTCTGTCTTCATCAGCTGGCATTCTGACCACAGCCAGGGAGACAGAGGTGCAGAGGAGGGCCAGTGAGTGGGAGGCACAGGGAAAACAGACACAGTTATAGCAATTTATCTTTATCGCCACCACAACACTGAGAGTTGGACTCAGTTGCAGACCAGGTGCACTGATAGAAACAGTTGTAAACTTTAAATTAAGAAGTTTACAAGCAGAAATCACAAGGGCAATACATTTGATAAATGCAATCACACCAAAATATCAGCCTTCTATTAATGCTGGTATTTTAAGTTTTACTTTAGGCATTTAGAAAGACCACTAATGTCACGTAAGCACTTTGAGAACAATCACTCACATTAGACTAATAAGAAGGATAAAAACCCTTAATCTCCATCTGCACTTCCCTCGTACTAACATCTGTTTGCAAATGAAACATGTCAGCAAATATGTCACAAACGTGACACAACGTGCCCTCTGTCTGATAGATGGACGACAGGGTGTGGACCACCACTGAGATCCAACATGGCTCCATCAGGGCGACTGTGTAATCCAGCTGCAGTCGCCCCATCAGCAGCGACACACCATGTGTCCCCTGAGCTGAGGTCACAAAAACCATAGCCACCGCTGAAGATGGAGCCTCAGAGCACAGCCCAGACAAATACTTGAAATCAGCCAACTAATAGCTTCAATAACTCAAGAGTGTCGCGGAGGAAACATTTTGTTAAACAAACAGTATGCTCTCTAATTGCTGTGTTCAGTCATCTGCACAGCTTATCACAGCAACTTTGTCTGATGTGGAGATGGAAGGGGCAAGCTGCTCTGGGCACTTCTGCCGTTTTGTCATCATGCGTTATAATGGAGTTTAGAACGCTGCAAGCTGAGATTGAGGATGGCAGTCAGGCCAGAGGCGTCATATTCTCAAGAAATTAAAGCATTTATCAAACTAAATATTCTGCCTGTGATCCAAAGTACAAGTGAGGAAATAAAAACTCTTCAAAATAGATAAATAATAAACAAATGAATTCTGTTAAAAATATAGCTGTGACAATATATTATTCTACAGCAATTACAAGTAGCAATACTTTGTACAAGGGGTGTCGAACTCATTTTTGTCATCATGGGGGTGTTTCTACTAAAGAATTACAGTACTTTTATATAACATGAATTTCGATATTCTGAAATTCAGTTATATGGAAAAATCAGTAAACCCTAACATGCCATGGTGCCCATATTATGCTGCCTGCAGGTTATCAATAACAATAGTTGAAAATCATCTCCACATGTACCATATGGCACGAAACGCAACAAAAGTGCTGTTTTCTGCCCAAATGATAGGGGGCAGAATTACGCCTCATAGTGCTGAGAATGAATTATTCTTTACCCTGGATGGGTTTAGAAACAGCCATAGTTACTGTAAATGTAAATAGTGATAGACATTTTTGAATGGTTTCTTAATACATTTGATTTCTTTACTTGTTTACGCCATGTACCAAAGCAAACTCATACTTTGTTGCTTCCTGTTACTAAAAATGGCAATAAAATAATTCTGATTCTAGAGTCACAAAACCTCTCCTCAGCCAGTCTACATAAGCTTAAAAAATGAATCAATCAATTACTAAATTTGTTGAAACTCAATTAGTTGTGATCAACTGATAACTTGTTACAGCCCTAGTATTATTATGTTTTACATATTATTTATATAATTTAGAATTATTCATTTATATAGGGCGACAGTGGCTCTGTTGGTAGAGCATTGGCCTTTAGGCCTGAAGGTCGTGGGTTCAAGCCCACCATAAGACCTACTTCACGATTCCCACTGATGTCTGCTGCCGTTGAGATAAAGACACTTAATCTCATTTTGCCTGAAACCCCGGCTGAAAGATCTCAGCTCCTGTGGACTCACCACCTGCAGGAGGATCAGTGAGGGGCTGGTGCTCTGTGGACTGGGTGCAGCTCTGACTGACACCCCCCGATCCAGAAATGGATAAAGGGGAAGAAAATGGATGGATGGATGGATATTATTTATATACTTAAACCACAGAAGGAAGGAAATATAATTTTTGAAAAAACAAAAGAATTGCTGAATGAGGAAAATAAAAAATAAAAAATGGTGCTATGCAAACAGAACATGAAAAAAAAAACTATTTGGTGACGGGTGATGGGTTAAAACTTGTAACATGTCTTGCAACAGGGAAACCAAGGAATTATTTTCTTCCTTCTCTCCTGTTGGTTCATACTGCACAAATGTATAGACAATATAAATAAGGTAATATGATGATATGGGCAAATACATAAACCATCATAATACATCAAACCAAAATTATTGAGGAAATGACAAACGCGATCATTTCAGTTTGAGTTGTTACACACATTTTTTAAAGCATTGTTCTAAAAAATGATCTGTAAAATAGTAAATAAAAAGTAAAAAAACAGTGAAAAACAAAAGAGGAGAGACAGATACTCACGTGCTACAGAGAAGTTATTCAAGGGGGTTTCCAGCTGGTCAACATCTTGTGGTCGCTCTTTGTAGCCAATGAAAGTACCATCACTCTTGAGGAGAAAATACCTCGGCCTCCAAGTCTTGATATATTCCCCTGAAAAGACACATTTTTTCACTTTAGAAAAAGCCAAATTAAAAATATTATTATTATTATTATTATAAAATTCATATATGACAATAAAGACTATATAAAAACTCAGTCCGTTTACATAACCAATATATGTACAAAATATTGCTCAAACATTTCCTGAATTGTGTGTAAAAAAGTGCTCTTTAACACTGCCTAAAAAGGGCATATTGTAAGTGTCTTAATGTACTGGAGGTCAGGTGCAGAACAAATAGTTTGTAAAGAGTCGGGACCTTCCCCAGCTGTCCAAGAATATGGCATTGTTTAAATAATTCTGGATAACCTTGAAGATGTATTCACTTTCTGTCAGAAACTTAGTGAAACTGCTTTTTATTAGCGCTCAAACAAGAACCGTTTCATCAAATGCTACAACTAACTTAACTTTTTCCACTTGGCTCCACAAAACGACAGCCGTAACCCCAAGCCATGCATGCCCATCTCATTCACTTGCATCACACAAATGATTTTCTCATTGGGGGGACCGAACTCAATTTATTCTAGTGATGCTTCAGGAAACGCACGGCCAGATGTTGTGCAGTTGGCAAAAGGAAAAAAAAAAAATCAAAACAGACAAAAACAACATACCATAACAAGGCTGTGGTACAATAGAGTGGCGCATGCATATTTATACAAGAGAAAAGTGCAATTTATTTTTAATTACGGAGCTGCATATTAACCCCATGCTGAGCCGGAGCAAGCTGTCCTTAATTGCCCCATTTCCTCAAACACAGAAGTGTGTGGTGTGCGACAGACACACAAAAGGACATGAGCGTTTCAAAAAACAAATTCAGAACCTGTCACTTTACTGAGACAGGAGGAAGTTGATATTTCTCAGAAATGACATCAGCTGCTAATAGGACATGTTCCATATGGGTTGAAGGAAGGGAACAATATTCGAAGATAAAAAAGAAAAAACAAAGAAAGGAACAGATTATACGCCAAAAAAAGTTAAATCCCAAGCAAACACTAAACCTACAATGGTCACACCTGCTTGTGAAAGCCAGATTCCATTACACCTCTGAGGCAAAGTAGGGCAGGACCTGGTTAGTATTGTGATGAGAGACCTCTGGAAAGTACCACGGTGAGATGGCTGCAGCTGTCAAAAGTGCTGTCATTGAGTGTTTAGGCAAGATATTTTGACCAAATAGCCTAGAATGAGTCTGGTATGTGCATGTGTATGGTTGGTGGTGGTCAGTAGTGCTGACGGCACTTGGTAGTTACCTTGCTTCTGTCAATGAAGACAAAAGAGCGCTATATAAAACTAAAATTAGCGCTAAATAATAAATATTATTATTGTGATGATTATATATATATATATTTTATCAAACTTTGTTACACCTGCAAGGGAAAAAGAGGTGGCACGGCCCACTGCAGCAGAGCAACATCTGCACAAACTTCAGTCTTAATAAACAGCAGATGTCCGATCCAGAATTGCATTTGTCATCCTGGCGTGGAGTTTTTTTCTTTTCATTTACTTTGTGCAGAGTAAGTGTTTTCATGCACGACTCATATTCAAATTAGATACACTTTCGGTACGACATTCTTGCCAGCGCCGGTGTCACTCCATTTGATGTGTAATTGATAAGCATGGTAAAAATGTGAAGGCTGGATTTCCATGATACACTGTACAGTCTACAATTACCATAACAAGTCATTTGTCTGTTTTAGACGGCTATCAGTTTTCACTTTTAGCATATAAACTCTCTGGGGGAAGCAACATGTGCACTACCATTCATCAAAAAGACAAGACAAGACTCACTATTCATCAACAACAACAAAAAACAACAAAGGAATCATCAAATCAGGGTTGCAATAGTCTCCGTTGTTGGGAGAGTTTGTGATCAAAAGTAGGGGTGGGAACCTAAGGGTACCTCACGATACGATACGATACACCAGCCATTCCCAAACTCAGTAACACTGAGTAAAAAATCTGACGGGTCTGCGTGGCCCCCCAAAATAATAACCAAGAAGACAACATTAAGAATAGGCTCTTCTGGTTATTTTATTTTGGGGAAATAGCCTCTGCTACAAACATTGTAATACAAAAATGATTACAGTGGCTTATTCAAGTCAAATAATGAACACAAATATTTTAATATTACAAACAAAACATTATACATTTAACATTAAATAATTATATTATTTTTTTATTTTTTTTATGACCTCCCGCGGCCCCCCTGCAGTACAAACGACACGATACAAAGCTCACGATAACGATAATATCACGATAACAATATTACGATAACGATTTTATCACGATACAACGAATATTGATATATTAGTCAGAAATATACAATATGCCAATTTATGGCATAAATAAAAGAAAAAATACTCTTTATTTCATGATAAATAGAATGGAGATGAGTAATGTTGCCATATATTAAGTATTGATACCAATTCAAAAAAAAAAGAAAAGTAAAAAAAAAAAAATATATATTTTTTTTTTGTTTTTTTTCAAAATCGATATTGATACTTGGCAAATGCATATCGATAATCGAATCGCGGGAGAAAGTATCCCTAATCAAAAGTGCCCAGTGTTTTGTAGTCATCAGCTGGGCCACATCTGCTCTGGCTTGCGGTGGTCAAGTCATGTCTGACCCATATCCCGTCCGTAATGAGGCAATCTGGTTCACACTTAAGACATGTGTGACCAGTGCGAGCAGAAGCCAAAAGATGCACAAGACTTCAGCTGGGTAGCATTAGATCACTAAGGTAAAATCAAAAACCTGGGGATTGGTCCCTGGGTGCTTATTGCTGCAGACGGACTTTCCCTGCGATTATCCCATTGTCAAAGCATTTCATTGATCAAAGGATTGAGTGGTAGATGCAAATAGGTAATTGTTTACTTAGAGATTTACAGTCACAAAGCCGTTTCTCAATCTAGTGTAGGGCTGAAACAACTAATCGATTAATCGACGACTAATCGATTATTGAAATAGTCGACAACTATTTTAGTAATCGATTAATCGTTTTCTGGTTCACACGGACTCAAACAGAGCAAAAATTACATGAAAATGTAGAATTTTTATTAAAACCGACTTTGTTTTTATAATTTCATGAATATCTGTCTGTCTCATCCAATCAGATAGCAGAATTAGCACAAAGTGAACTGTTACAAACATTTACTTTAAGTTTACGCCATCAATACGTCCTCAAGTGTTGCCACTTTAGCTTTTTGTGATGAAAAAATATTTTTTTTCTACACAATTCACAGCCAAGCGATTACTCAATTAATCGTAAAAATAATCGACAGATTAATCGATTACAAAATAATCGTTAGTTGCAGCTCTAATCTAGTGTACTTTTCATTTCACTCATTGTGGTGGTAAACTCCAATAGTAGCCGCAGCTGCCCTGTCCTATAGAGAGTTTTTGCATGACTTTTCCTTCTCTGCACAATCCCGAGACTTCCCCTGTGTGGCCAGCACATCCGCCTGTCTGCAGCTTCCACAAACCGTCTGCTCTCAGGACATAAACAACAACAATGACCCTCTGTCAGCTTCCTATTTACACCCATTTCCTCTTGCGCTTTTATTCAGTTCTCACACACACAGTTTTCACACAAGCACGCACGATGTCAGCAGCAAATCCATCGATAAAGACCAATCCACACACATCACTAAGTAATACAAAGTAAAGAAATGAATCATACAAGTTCAACTCAGAAAAATATAATATCATTCAAAAGTCTGCTAGAAAATAACTTACAATGTAAAACTACTATATGGTACTATTATTAGATGAAAAAGGGAACCCACAGCTGTAAAATCCCAAATAATTAGAATATTTTGAAAACAGACTGTAAGCCACAATAATTAAAATTATAACAAAGGCTTGACCTATGACACTATTCCACCGCTGTTGCTGTGACCAAAAGAGCATTTTATTATTATTATTAGCTACTTTTACTTTTAGAATTATTTATCTATTTGTATGGATGGATGTGTTTTTGCTGCGACTGAACACCTGAATTTCTCCTACGGGGGATCAATAAAGTTTCTATCTATCTATCTATCTATCTATCTATCTATCTACTGTCATATATTGGTTTCATATTTCACGTTAAATTACAGAAATAAATTAACTTTCATTTTAATCACCTAATGTTTTTTTCATAGCAATAACTCTACACATAAAATTATATTTATATTTCTGGTTTGCTCACATTATAAAAAATGTATGATTATGTTCAATAGTTTTCACACACACTTTTTCACACACTGTTTCATATCAATCAGATGGTAAATAACAACCCCTTGAACTTTGAAGGTTCATCAAAACAGGAAACTTAGCAGACACACAGACCACAACCTCGATAGCGAAAGGCTGTACTGTAATGTTACTACATATACACTTTGAGGAAGTAAAACCATCTTAGCTCGAGCGTCAACACTGCTCTGAAGAGAAGGTGTCACAACTCTACGAGAGCTAGGAACGGGCCTCAAAGTCATATCTGGTACTTTTATGAGAAACGGATGAACTGAAAAGGGAAGGAGGGGGGTATGAAAAAACCCTATAATACGCATAGAGCAGTATTGAGTGGAGCGTGAGTGAGACAGATCACTACATATGCTGGCCACATATGTAGGGGTGTCGTTGGGGGGGGAGGCTCAAGCGGAGTGTGCCTGAGCCATGCGTACAGTTATGTGCATGGGAGGAGCTGTCAGGGTCTGATAGAGTGTCTTTACATGACAAGCAGCTGCTGAGGTCTGGGATGTGCGCTAGGCAAAGTGGAAAATAATGAAGGGAGAGCTGGTGCCAAACGCAACAAAATTCATCTTTGTTTACCAACTGCTGCATGGCCTTGCATGTGGACGGCTCCTGGACTGCCGCTGCTGCCCCGCCCGTTCCACTTTAGCACAAATAAAACAAGGTGTGGAGCCAAAACTGGTCTGGGCACAACAAGACAGGTGGACACGATTGTGGGTTTTAAAAGTGATGTTTTGAGTTGAATACAGCTGGACAGAC